ATTACTGATAATAATTGTCTAGTTAAAAAATACTGGTGCGGTTGTAGATGTGCGATCGTTAGAAGTTTTTAGCAAATGTTTGTTATCATAGTTACGAAGAACAGGCTGAATCAGCTTTAGAACTCCATAGCAGTTTAGTTATCAAACTTCTTTTCTTTTTGTGATAAATTACTTATAAGAGGATTGACATATCATTTTCTTATATCCCCATTATCGAATATTTTATATTAATTACGCAGATGTGGAATTCTACCTAAGTTTAATTTTATCATAATTGTTTCACACTGATAAAGAGATAATTAGATAAATTGTGAATATTGAGTTATCAATTGCCATCAAGTATTTTTATAATTAACCTGATGCTCTAGGAATTGTTCTCATCTAGATCCGTTCGTACTGATAAAGATAAGCATTGATAAATTATTGATAAGATTATTAAATCATTACCAAATATTTTTATGATTACTCAGATGCTCTAGCAATAAATTAAAAACATTCCTTGGAAATTTGAACTATTTTCTACATCATTCCTGGATTTTACCTCACAAACACTCATTCCATTTCGTGAGCTTTTTCAAACTATGCTGTCATGAGTGCTTCATTGGATACTACACCCCCTGGGTCCAACCCCAGGACCCCTCGGAATAGCACAAGTTCGGTTCCCCATCGTGAAGGATCCGTTTCATCCTCCCGATCTAGTTTTTCGGAATATTCTGGTAAAGGTAGTCATGGTATCGAAGAAGTTAGTGATCACCCTGTTACACCGTTTTCTCTCACACAGATGGAAGGGAGATTTAAACAACTTCAAGGTTTGTATTTGGTATTTTTGTCCAAAATAAGGTTTTGAACGGTCTAAAATTTTTCACCTTTTTTGGGGGGGGGGGGAGGAGGAATGAAGGAGAATTTGATAATCCAGAGATCTGTGATTTCTTCTGATAGGATGGAGATTTATGCAGATTTAAAGTTTGTGTTAATTTTTCTTCTTTTTCTACTGAATAATAGTTGAATAAGCAATATTGAGGTGTTGTGGACTTAAACAATGGGATTGTATTTTTTTTTGCCAGCGTTATGTTCAAGGCACGAATGTATTTTAAATCTTCTATCTATCTGTATCTATAAATAGATTTGGTATTTACTTATGGGATTAAAAAGGATTTCCGTCTGAGAGATTATTTCTTAAGACGTGTTGAATGAATATACGGGAAATTCCTCGCATAAAGCTCATTTAAACTTTCTTAGACTTTCTTTGGCTTTTGCTTTGCTAAGATGTGATGACTTGGTGCTTAAAACATTGGGCTTGAAACATCGAACTGTTTTGGCATTGCAGGCAGCGGCATAGCCAGGGAGTGGTTTTTCGGGTCGAAACCCCCCGTTTTGAAATGTGAAAAAAATAATATCATTTTTTTGTATCATAGATAGCAATTTTCCGTAGCGTAAAAGGCCTTTTAGACCTCAAGACTAATAAAAACACGGGTATTCCAGCATTTGATCGGACCCGCTGACTGTTTCGATCTAACTTGGCAAATAAAAATTTCAGAACCCCCCCCCCATTTGAAATTTCTGGCTACGCCCCAGATCGCAGGATTTGAATCTCGGGGTTAAGTCCCACGCCCACCTCACTCAGGCCAAATTGGTTAGGCTGAACGAAGAACTTCAGGTCCTTTCAAAATATGGAAACATATCATGTTAGTGGAAGCTTGTATAAAGCCATCTTTGTAATGAAAGACTTGTTGAAATGTTATGTGCTACAAAAAGGTATATAATTATTAGAAACCATACACCTATGGGTGTTTCCTGACCCTTGACCCCAGAAGCATTTCCCCCCATACTTTATACCATTGCTCAATTCTTGATACTTATTTTCAGAGTGTTAGGGAGAGTTGGCGCTTAGAAATTGGCTCACGTGTTCAAAACCATCATTTTCATTAAAAATATTTAACCAAGTGCTAAGATCTTGTACTCTTTGAAACATATTTCACAAAAACCAATATGGTATCTACAGGGTGAAAGCTTAGCACATATAACAATACTAAATAGTGGGTGAAAAAATATTACTAAAGGTTTCCTCACAAACCAGTACTTAGATCTTTTATCAATTCATTCCAATCAAGTCATATAAACATTATTTCACATTCCTGGATGACAGTATAAACATTTTCATAAAGGCGATTTCTCTTCGTAGAAGTCCATTATAAACATTATTGTGCTATGTATAAATAAGAATCCCTTTGTAGTCATTTTCTCTACTAGTATTACCAATTTGATCGGGGATGGCAATTTTGTTTACAAAATTGGGTAGTCCTGTAGTGTGTGTACCAGGTTAGGGTTAGGCTATCATTTTATTTCGATTTTCCTTATTTTTGTTCTATTACGAGTTCGTGGACTGTCTGTGTTAGCCAAGTGAATATTCCCTGCCCATAGGTTTCGGTCCCTTTAAACAACTTGATGTAAAGTAGGCGAACAAAATTAGTTACCTCCATATTGGTACACACACTTCTGGAGCGACCACTTGTGTTATTGAATATTACAGTTTTCTTAAGTTTTTCCCCTTGTTAGTTGTGAACAAGAACCTTAACAAACACACCTAAACCTTTCCAATTTGAGATCTTCGATTCAAACCCAACAACAACCACACTAGGGTTATTTGAAAGCTGGGCAAAGCTGAACAAGAAATATTCTACAGCAGTGTGTCTCAGACATTTCAAGCCACACCCCCTTTTAAGAATTTTTTAAGTCTCGCACCCCACCTGAAAAATAACTCTATCTAACAATATGCTACAAATAACAGACGGTAGGACAAAAGTATTTTAATTAAAAAAAACAGGTTGAAAATCTGTGGATGAAATCGCAATCTCTTAACAATAAAAAAATGTAAATATGCTAAATATAAGACAGACAAGTTCAATTCCAACAAATATCTTTATTTTTTTTTAGCTTTAAGTCCTCTTAAAACATTGTCTACATTCCCCTTGTGAGGCGCACCTCATCATTTGAGAACCACTGTTCTACAGTTTTGTTCACAGTTTGTTTTACGTCTTTAATAATACATCTCAGAGAACAGTTCAGCAGTTTAAGCATTTTTTACGAGGCGTTCCGAACAAGCATATGATATGTATAGAGTTGTTTCTTTAAATATGCATCGGGCATTACCTACTGACTTATACCCGGTGTGATTTTCGCATTCAGGGTCGAAGCTGATAAACTGTGACCCAACTTAGTGACAATACAGGCCATTGTTATTCATATTACAAAAGTTTTCTAATAAAAAATAGCCTAGTTAAACATTCCAACCGTCCTGGTTTTCAACCAGTGCGCTTTGGTCCACTGCTGGGCCACATAAACATTTTTAAGGCACAAAGCTATCAAAAACTGCTTGAATTTTTGAACTTTAAATGTAGTAGCAATGAATGACGATGCTGTTTTATGCTACTGAGTAGTAATTTTCAATATACAGGGTGGCCCAAATGCAGGTATACAGTTATTAAACTGTTTTATATGCTTTGAAGCTACTTGCAGTTCACTTTATGTTACTTGTTAAGTACCACAAAAATTGCTTATTTTTTTAGATAATAAATCTAGTGTGAATTTTACATTAGTTTTCTAGCTGCTTGGAGGGTAATAAAAAATAAATAAAATAACTGTATTCCTACTTTTTGGCCACCCTGTATTTATTAGTGGAAATGTCTATTTTTGCGGAAAAAATTGTTTGTTTTTATTGCAATCCTTGAATGAGAAAGTAAATGGGCCACAGAGAGAGGGAAAGAGAGAGGGTTGTGAACCACCGTGATAACTAATCCCAAGGCAATCACTTTTCCTATGGCGAAAGTTTTAAAATCCTTTTCATGAGAACTGCACTAAACAAAGGAAATAGGAATGTAAACGCCTATTGACATTGAGAGATCTACCTCATCATTGGCATAGTGTTGATATGATGTTGATAGTGTGATGTGCACCAAAATGTCGCACAACCTGAACCCTAACCCGATACACAACCTGAGTTCAGGTTGTGCGCCATCTTGGTGCGCATACTTCAGGAGGTCCCATATTATGACCATAAAAACCATACTGAACAAAGGACATAAACGCCTATTGACTTAGAGAGATCTGCCTTATCATTGGCATAGTGTTGATGTAGCACCCGGCACTGTTGTTAATATTTAACTACGAACTCTCAGTGACACGTTATTGCTTGAATAAACATAGACAGGATGATGTAATGACATGTGGCAGAGAGATTTATAGAGAAATTGTGCAATTGTAAAGAGGTGATGAATGATTAAATTGAAAAATTGGAACCGGTTTCTTTTAATATACAGACTTATATATCATTGGTTCTCAAACTTTTTAGGCCACACCCCCCTTTTAAAATTTGTAAAGATTTGTTCCCCGTTTTGAAAATAATTACGGTAGCTAACAATAGTTACAAATAACAGATAGTAAGGCGAGAGTATGTTTTGTTTCAAAAACATTTTGAAAATACATGAATAGAACATAAGTATCAAGTATAAAAAATTGTGAATATACAAAATAAGGCGGGCAAGATCAAATCTTACAAGTATTTTTAATTAGCCTCACATCCCCCTCAAAAAATTGTCTACGCCCCTTTTGTGGGGTCCGCCCAAACATCGTACCAGACCAACTTTGCCAACTGGTATATTTTGTATGTCAAATTTCAAAATGTTGGTATATTTTGGGAATGTTCTGAATGATTCAAGAGTTCTGTTGCACATCAGGAGCGTTGCCAGTGAAGAGAGTAGAAAGTTTTATAATACAAAGGGTACAAAATATTTCGGTGATTTCATAATAATAACGACGGGATGGTCACTTTCCGGCAGTGACAACATACAATTTGACAGATTTGTTCTTTTCATATTAAATTCAACATGCAAGGAGCTGAAGAGTAATTTATTACAAAATGGATTTATATTTTACGACAATAGTCTGCTCTAATTGTACTTATTTCACTAGAAAACTTATCAAAATTTATCTTTTTTTTTCAGACGAACGTGAAGCCGTACAGAAGAAGACTTTCACAAAATGGGTGAATTCACATTTGCAGAGAGTTTCACTCAGAATACAAGATCTTTACATGGATCTCAGAGATGGAAAGAATTTGATGAAATTATTAGAAGTTTTGTCAGGAGAAAAACTGGTAAGAACCAGCTTGAACCAGTTTAATCTAGTCATTGAATTATGATAGTTTTGTATCGTTGTGTCTGTTCGTATGGAATTCCAGAAATTGAAAAGAGGAAGAAACTCTGGCATGCCACTGGAAGTATCCTTAAATTCAGATTATTCTAAGATTTCCAAATTCATACTCATTATTCAGTGATGATATTTACAATTTGTTAAACAAGTTCTATTTTGTATTGAACCCACTAACAGGTTTCCCTTTTTCGATAATCTATACCAAACTTATAGCTCCATGGCAATACAAGAACGTGTAACGAAGCCGTATAGCTGCATGGCATATTTACTAATATAATATGTCATTAAGTAAGATACTCTAACATGACAGACTTTAATAAAAAATCTAATACGTAAGTTTAGAAATGCCAAATATAACGCTAGTCGACAGCTCGATAATGGGCTCGCTGAATATTATGACAATTTAAGAACAGAACTTCTAAATTTTGTTTATTGCCCTTTTTCGTAGCTTCCATCATATAACCATGAATAAGGGGAGCAATATTATCAATATTTTATATTTTCTATATTTCCAGCCCAAACCAACTAGAGGGAAAATGCGAATCCATTGTTTGGAGAACACAGCGAAAGCTTTACAATTTCTCAAAGACAAGCGAGTGCATCTTGAGAACATGGGACCTCATGATATCGTCGATGGAAACCATAGACTTATTTTGGGACTAATTTGGACAATTATTCTCAGATTCCAGGTGAGTGAATAGGACCAGTGGTGTAGTCAGGAATTTTCGAACAGGGGGTTTCTAATAATTGGTAATTACCAAATTAACCGTAACAGCCAGCGGTTAAGAAAAACGTGCGTTTTCCAGAGTCTTGACGTTCTAAAATGTGTTTGAGCTGCAGATAATTTCTATGTATGATAAATAAAAATGCTTTTTTTTTTCAATTTCTAAAAGAAAAAAGGGGTTTCTCAAACCTGTTTCTACAGGCTACTGGTGGCCAAATGAATAAATGCAATATTTATTCAGTTTGAATATGATAACGCTGAAAGATGATGTGGTGTTCGGTTTTCTATAGTTAACACAAGATATAGCAAGCCCATTGTTAGTAACAAGAGTACATTCTTATGGCACAACTCACAAATTTTTTAGGGAGCTTGATTATGCTAAATTAGAGGTGTGCATCAGGCGACCAGGGGTCCACAAGCCTGCCAACCAAGTTATTTAGTGTGACCCTTTCCTCAAAATTCCAAGTGTTTCACTAAAATGTTAAGTAAATAAAATTTCGCATTGTGAAGATTTTTTAATTCGTTGTGTTCATGGAAAACTAAATTTTGTGTGTGGCTAAATGTCTATTAATGATTACAGCTCACAGACAAAAAAAATATTGCCAACCCTGTTATAAACTATTCTTATTTTATCAACCAAATTTTAGCATTTTATTAGTTGTTTAAACCATCTACCATCTTTTATCTCCCTTTAATAATATATATACAAATCTCATCTTTCAGATTCAAGACATCAGTGTCGAGACCGAAGACAACAGGGAGACAAGATCAGCTAAAGATGCCTTGTTGCTTTGGTGCCAGATGAAGACTGCTGGATACCCGAACGTTAACGTGCATAATTTTACCACTAGCTGGAGAGATGGGCTCGCATTCAACGCTATCATTCATAAACACAGGTACTGTGGCTAATTGATTCAAATTTTTCATTCAATATTTTAAATTTTTTATTTTGAGATCAACTTGGATAACTTCATTCATAAATTTATCTCAGACTTGTATTACCATTCGACAGTTAGACTGTGCTCAAAATTTGACACATCCATCACAACTCGAGGGCTTAAGTACTCCTAAATGATACTTAAAACAGCAATTTAATTTATAGTTTCATGATAAGCGACTTTGCTACCAGTTCAAGCCAGATATATAACACAATGATTTAGATGGTGGCCACAAGCTGTTTAACTGACTAATATCACATAATGCAACCTTATACCAGCATTTCATGATCAGAGTAGATATATTTTAGCTTGAACAGTACCCATGCCGCTATCATCAGAAGCATGAACAAGCATGGGATCTCCAGAAGTATGTGCACCAAGATGGCGCACATCCTGAACATAGTATGTGTACCAGGTTAGGGTTCAGGTTGTGCTCCATCTTGATGCACATACTTCGGGAGCGCCCAAGCATGTCCCAAAATCAATGAAGCATAAAACAATGACAATGAAAGAAGTAAACAGGCAGTGTTGCCAGAAATTGACAAAGCGGAATAGTACAAATAATGAAATATCAATAGTAACAAACTAATAGAGTAAACATAGCTTCAATTTGCATTACCAATATAGCTCAGATCAATGCTCTTACTTGTTACCCTCATGTCAAATTCTGACCCAAATGTCCATTTTTTAACCAACTTTTTTGTTTGAATTCAGACCTGACCTTATTGAATATGAAAAACTGAAGAAAACAAATGCAATGGGAAACCTACACAATGCGTTCAATGTTGCCGAACAAAAACTTGGACTCACTAAACTGCTAGATCCTGAAGGTTCGTGTTGCTTTTTCTATTTTTGAGAATTTGTTCAAAACAGGGTATTAGGTACACTTAGATGAAAAGGAGATAATGATTAATTTCCGAAGATTTTATTAAAGTACATATTGCAGTAAGAATAAGCAAACAAACAATAATCATGAAATATAAGGGGGCTGGCAAGACTTCAAGGTCAACGAGGTCGACCGACCCCTAATGAAAGTTTCTATCAGGACAAGATAATCTGACATCATAATTGCAGTAGAATAAGAATATAGGGTGACTCGTCTTTGAGCAAAGTTACAGACGACTACAAGAATTCTCTCAGAGCATCGCCGAGTACACCCACTCAGAAGTAGACTAGAATATTTTTAAAGATAATTTGCTCTCCTCAAGGTCATCGGCACTCACTTACAGTTGAAGAACCACATTTCTGACTAAAGTTAAGGCCTGAGCACTGCCAAGAGATAAGCGTACTCCCTCAGAGGTAAATGAGACTCATCTTTAAGGGCACTCACTCGGAAGTAAAGGAGACTCATTTCTGATTTAAGTTAAGGCCGAGCACTGCCAAGAGATAAGCATATTCACTTGGAAGTGAAGGAGACTCATCACTGAGCAAAGTTACAGGGACTCACTCAAAAGTAAAGGACTCATCTCTGAGCAAAATTAAGGGCATTCACTCAGAAGTAAAGATGACTCATCTATGAGCAAATTTTCTCATATCAAGGTCAGACTGGTTGGTCATGATCAGTCACCTGTAACTGATGACATCTCGGGTCATGCTCAGCCATCTGGAAAAAGGCTAGTTGCCAGAAATTCAATACAGTTAACATCTCTAATACTACATATAGTCATAATAGTCAGTTTATTTTATTTACCTAGTAAAAAATAGCGTACAAACAAAATTGAGAAAAAAAAACGAGAGAAAGTGAACACACAATTTTACCCATTTTGGTGGCATCGCACCACTCATGCCCAGCCATCTGGAAAGACAATACACTTGTTAAAAATACATTTACAACGTTATTGAGGTCAATTGAGTTGAACGTTCCCCCAAGAGAGAGACTTGATGTTTTTGTCCTAAACAACCCTGTCATCTGTGAAACATCAACTGATATACAAAGCTATTTTCAGTTCATTCTATGAATTATTTATCACTCAAGTCTGTTGTGTATTCTGGGTTGTTGTAACCTCAAATCAAGAGAGGTATTTTCTATGTGTTTAACCTTCGCCATGCCAGCCGAGTTGATCCCAACCATCTAAACCAGGGTGGACCATATTATAACCAACTTCAGACATCTAGCTGGCCACACAAATAATTTAGCTTTTCCTGGTACACAAAGAATTAATATATTCCCACAACGGAAGATTTTATTTATTTAAAATTTTCACAAATTTCGGGTTTTTACATAGTTTGCTAACATCAGCTTTGACAGAAATTGTAGCATGAACTGTCTGATTATGATTTTATGCTTGATGGGGAAAAATCATTGACAAGGTCCCCACTAAATGACTTGGCGGGCCGCGTTGTGTCACCGCTGGGCCTGATCTAAAAAAATAGGTCAAAAAACAACAAGCGAGCTCATGCATTATTTTCTTTTAACAGATGTTGCTGTTGATCATCCAGATGAGAAATCTATCATTACCTATGTTGTTACATATTATCATTATTTCTCAAAGATGAAGGCTATCGCTGTGGAGGGAAAAAGAATTGGAAAGGTAAATTAAAATTTTTTTGAACTTTGCTTGTCGGAGGGAGACTGACATTGGTCAGATGAAACGTTACGGAATAAAATTGTGGAAAGTGGGAAACGAGGCAGAACCGCTCAATATAGCTGCTTTGATTCTTGCTACAATAACCTTTCAGTCTGTGCTTTGGATTCTCTAACACAGTGATTCCCAACTAAGGGCCCATGGCCCACCAATAGGGCCACAGATCGAACTAATTTCACTTCTCCCTTTAAAAGAAAATTTCCAGTTCTTTCTAGTTTGTTTGTTTGATAAGGGGATTTCACAGTGTGTTTTCACTTTGTTCAATTATTTGAACCTAGTGGGATTTGGATCCGTACAATCATAATAAAACTATAAATACCACTGGAATGATAAACAGGGGGCCATGAGTGCTAAAAGCCTTCTGAGGGGGGGGGGGGACAAGCCATAAAATGTTGGGTTGGGAACCACTGCGCTAACACAAAGGCCTAAGGATAGAGTCAGTGGTTATGGGCTTGCTACTCTAATCAACTATATGCTCTTTTGACTGTGTTTTCACCACATTAACTAATTTTATGAACAGCACTTGAGCATGCAACCACCTGTTAATAGCAGATTGAAATTTTGTCGTTTATCAATGTATGAATATACCTTGCTATTTTCATTTAGATTTGTAAATCTGATTTCTGATACTAGTACTAGGAGTGTCATTTTTGATGCAGCTAATGGTCAGAACATTGGACTATTCAGGTTAAAGGCAGTAATAAATAGGATGGGGGAACGCTGAACTGATAGCATTCTAGACCTTTTACAAATAATAACTCCTGCCTTATCAGTAGGTCTTTGGACAGAACACCTAAAGTAAAATTCTCTTTTATTTTAGTGTATTTCTCAATTTCAATCTTCATTCTCAGGTTCTTGAAAGTGTTATAGAAAGCAATGAAATGGTTGACAAGTATGATTCCATAACCTCTGACCTCTTGGAATGGATTGAACAAACCATCATGATTCTGAGTGACAGAAACTTTGCAAATTCATTGGCAGGTGAGAACAGGGCTGTGAAGTCAGGAAATTTAATATCCATCTCCAAAATGGGTTCAAAAAACAGTTCAACAAAAATTATTCCAGCAGAAAAATTTCCAGATTCCTCATTGACAGAAATTTTTTCTTTAGCTTCTCCTTCCAGATTTAAATCCCTTTTTTAACGAGAAAATCATGTTTATTCTTTGTAAACTTAATGCTTTTTTGTTTCTGTTGGAAATTTTTCCTACAATCATTACAAATTTGGAATGAAAATTTCAGAAAATCATCTACAACAGTGGTTCTCAAACTTTTTATGCCGCTCCCCCTTTTTAGAAATTGTCAAGTCTCGTACCCATCTCAGAAATAACCAACTAACAATAAGCTACAAATAACAGATAGTGAGGCGAAAGTATGTTTTATTCAAAAAACACGTTGAAAATATGTGGATGCAAAGTAAATATCCAAAATAATGAAATAATTTTCTATTTTAAAACGAGTTGTTTTGGATGTCATATTTGTTTAATATTTGTTGGTAATCCTCTCGTGGAGAAGATTTACAATCCTATCTTGATTCCTAATGAAATTATTCGAAAAAGTGGTTTTCAAACAGTGGGGCACCCCTCACAAGAGGGTGGTGGACAATTTTTTGAGGGTGGGGGGGAGTGAAGTTAATTAAAAATAAAAATATTTGTTAGATCCGATCTTGCCCGCTTATTTCGGATATTCAAATTTTTTCATTATGTTCACATATTTCCAATGTGTTTTTTGAATGAAACATACTTTCGTCTTGCTATCTGTTATTTGTAGTATATGGTTAGCTAGTTATTTTTGAGGTGCAACACTTGACAAATTCTAAAAATGTGGCTTAACAAGTTGAGAATACTATCTCTCTAAAATAATATCATTATAAATATCCAATGTACTTTTTATTTCGAGAGATGAAGCATCAAAATTGATTTATATCCTTAAAATTAATTCCAGGCGTTCAACAGCAACTCAAAGCTTTCAATAGCTATCGAACTAAAGAAAAGCCCGGTAAATTCGAAGAAAAAGGAAATTTGGAAGTTTTATTGTTCACGCTTCAGAGCAAAATGAGAGCAAACAACCAGAAGCCTTACACACCTAAGGAAGGAAAACTAGTTTCTGATATTAATAAGGTTTGTGTTAATTAATTTGATTAATTAAATTTTGTTAATTGAGAATTATTTTAATTAGCATATTTCTCCTCACATATAGTACGCACCAATATTGTTTAGAACTCTTGCTGCCTTTATTAACGCTAAATTTTAGTTGGGCTGAATATGCTTCTACCGAAACAAGCATGATACGACTCTAACAGACTTTGTCAAATAAATTAAAAATGTATGACTAATATATGAGAAAATTATTAGCCTGTTAAGCATTAATTGATGGATTATTAATTTTTTGATATTTTTCATGTCAATGCATAATGCGCACATATTTTTAGGTTGAAATGCGTTTTATACATGAGAAAAATGGTAATTAAAATTCTAATTTACCATAATTAAGGGCTTCAAGACAAAAAGGTGAACGTTGACATTACGAAAAAAAATTTAATTATAAATATAATAAAATATGTTTCTGAAGTTGGTATCGAATTATAGTTGTAAACAATAAGAAATCTGGTACTACTGAAGTATGCGCAGCAAGATGTCACACAACCTGAACCCTAACCTGGTACACAATCTGAGTTCAGGTTGTGCGCCATCTTGGTGCGTATACTTCAGGAGGTCCAGAAATTTTATCTTATATCTAAAATCCGTCTCACTTTATTTTCTGATCCTTCATTTTTTCAGGCCTGGGAAAATCTTGAGAAGGCAGAACATAACCGAGAACTTGCCTTGAGAAACGAACTTATTCGTCAAGAACGTTTGGAGCAACTCGCAAGCAGATTTGATAGAAAAGCAGCAATGAGAGAGACCTGGCTCAGTGACAATCAGAAACTTGTGTCACAGGTAACATCATAAATAAGCAATTAGTAATATTATCGCAAGTTAGAGTTCTCGAGATCGGATACTGGTTCCGTACTCCCATAGTATGCAAACAAAGATGGCGGACACCGGTACATAGTGTGTGCGTCAGGTTAGGGTTAGACCATAATGTTAGCGTCGAATACTCCACGAAATAGCTCTGGATAGAAAATTCCCGGTACTCCTAAAGTATGCGCACCAAGATGTCGCACAACCTGAACCCTAACCTGGTACACAACCTGAGTTCAGGTTGTGCGCCATCTTGGTGCGCATACTTCAGGAGGTTCAAATTCCTGGTATCATTCGTCATTGCATTTTTCGCTACGTTCCTCCCTATGCCTAATTCGTAAACGACCTATCTTCATATGCTTTCAATATTTAGCAGATCATTAGATACTTGCAACTTGCACACTTAGTTCAGTTTAAATAATTCATAAAGTGCAAATGAATAGGTATAACAAAATTATTAGAAACAGGGTGCAGGCTTTATTATTAATTACAAAATCAATTTTTTACATCTTTTTTGCTATTTCTTATTTCAACATCCAGGAAGAGACTGTAAGTATGTAATGATGTAAAATAGACAAACGTAGATGTTCTTGAGTTTGACCTTCTGGAATTTGCTTTTTGACACTGTTTTTTTTAAATGTATATAGCTGTTTCCTATCCTTTGCGTTTTTAGTTATTTGTATTTATTTACTTTGATAGCTTGATGCTTACTCAATATTTGCGTTTTCAGAATAAAATTACTGAATTATATTTTCTGTGAGAAGTGTGAAACTGAAATTCCTGCGTTTGATCAATGAATTTAATAAATCAAATATAACCAATCATCAATATTTTCAAATACAGTAATTCCTCTGTAGACGAACATAAATCGTTCAGCATTGGTGTTCTACCAATTTGTTTGGACACAGAAACTTTTTTTTCCTTAAAAACAATGCATTACGCATTCCAAAATACCCAAAATATTATCAAAACGTGTACTTAAACAACAATATTTATTTAAATGTGTAAATAATAAAGATTAAACAGAAACATTTATCTGTTTGAGTGCCGCAGCATTTTTGACTAGAATTTTTTTGTTGGCAACCGAATAGTTCAAGTATTGAGTCGTTTGACTTCCGAGGTATCACTGTACCCGTTTTTTATTTTATTATTGATCTTTCTGCTTTGTCCCGGCATTCATTTCAAGCTTTTTCTGCGGTCTTCACCCTAAGTAGTGACTTTAAATTCTTTATTTTTTTCTATATTTGCTGCTTAGGAAATGAAGAGAGATATGGTAATTTATGCAGATGTTGTCTGATCATAGATATGGATTGTTGAAACCATATCTAATGTAGACTGGGTGTTCTATGTTTTTCCTTCGGTTCTCCTGGAGTGTGTGTACCAGGTTAGGGTTAGGCCCAGTAGTGTCATTCAGCCGGTTCGCACTGGTTCTATAAAACCGTCTCACAGAATTTTATGAGATCAGCGAACCGGTTAGCATTGCATAACTTTTTGTAACAGAACCGCCTGAAAATATGACATTTGTATGACGGAACCGACTGACAAGAAAATTTGAATCCCACCACTGGTTAGGCCGTATTTTTATTCCGATTTTTCTATTACGAGTTCAGGGAATGTCTGTGTTAGCCAAGTGAATATACCCCTTGCCCATTGGTTTCAGTCCCTTTACACAACTTGATGCAAAGTAGGCGAACAAAATTAGTTACCTCCATATTGGTACACGCACTTCTGGAGCGCCCAAATTCTATATATTCCTATTTCCTAAGTTCTTCCTACTTTTAAATTCCATATTACTCAAACCATGTCACGCTTACAAAAACAATCAGCAATTTTAATAAAAATCAGCATGTTAAAAAGATGCACGTTATTGGTGACTTTTTTAGTCTCCCCAAAATTTTCAAAGAGGGGGGGGGGGGCAAAAACTCTTTAGACTGCACCACTTGGTGTAGGCATTTTATGCTATTTCTTCTCTTCCTCTTTTAGACCTAGTTTTTCTTATCTTCTCAGTTTCAGTATTGGTGTTCCATGTCTTTCCTAGTTTTATTCTTTATCTGAATACTTTAACTTTGGGATAGATCGGGATTTACAGAAAAGAAAGCTTGTATGACAGTACATATCTGTTCTCCTATATTTTTTTAAAACGTACTGGCTATTCGAATGTAAATTGTCCATCCATTCCTTTATTGATATATTGGCTTATAACATTCTTCGTGGTGTTTCTTTTTTTCTCAATTTCTGTGTCGACTTCGGCTTCTCTAAGTATGGTGCGTTAGTTACTGTAGTCTCTTGTGCCAAAGTCTCATCTCTCATCTTACTGTTCACCTTTTATGGGAACTTACGACCGACCCTATTTTAAACCAAAACCAAGGAAATTATTGAAAGAGAAAAAGTTGTCGTAGTACTTTCACGCAAGAATGTTGAATGGGATATTGATTTTTATGAATTAAATTATTTACCTAGATGATGCTGAGGAATGCGAGCACTTGAAACTCAGCCTTCTTGTTGTTGTAAAATAGGTGTTTTAGTTTCTTGTTGAGTCTCTGACTTTCATTCTAATTTTTCTTTTGTGTTTGTGGTATGTTGTTCATAATAACCGATACTTCTTTCAAATCCTATAGTTTTTCGTAGTCTGTACCATGTAGTACTTTCTTATTGTTGAGTTTGCGTTTTGTTTAATCGAAAGTAAACTGTAAGCTGTTTGAATTTGATTGGAGCCTATTTTGTAAAAATAATAAAACTGTCTTGAACATGTTCCCTCTCTGTCTTGAAGATATATTTTTTTGTATGTAAACATTGCATTTCGCACATTATTTTATTTAAAACCGAACACTTTACAATAATGTCTCTTTAAAAATATAGGCAGTCGTTGCTATGAATACAGATTTACTGTGATTTGAATGACAAAATAAAAAAAGGGCCACAAATAACGTTGTGCATTTGTTCACGAAATTTGCTCACAATAGTGACTTCAGCAGTTGGCTACAGTTTTTGCGTACAGTACAAGTTTTAAAACATCTGCCCTATTTTAGAAAAACAAAAACTTGAATTTAGATTTGTTATCATTATCATTGAGAGCCACTTTTTATTACCTTTTAAGTTTCATTTTCCTGATTACCGATTATTGCCTTTTTGAATATTGAATATATTCTGAGTCAGACTTAAAGAGAATGAAACATACATAAGTCAAAATTTGCATATCCTTAATGATTGAATTTGAAAATGTGGAAAAGTATATTGTTTTCTCCATTGGTTTGCTGCATTATTTTTGAATTTGAGTGAACCTGTATTGCTCCAACAGTCAAATTCTCTTCAATTATTACAATTCATGAACTGAAAATACCATGATATTTCTAAAATCAAGAATTTACAATATTGAATATAATTAATTCAGAATGTATTCGAATATTTGCTTCACTTAGGCATATATGCTTATAACTGGTACAGAAATTTGCTCACTTGCTGCTATTTTGAAAATTTTGGATAATTTTTTTGTAACTTATATGTAATATTATAAATTTCCAATTTTCAGGACAATTTTGGGTTCGATTTACCGGCGGTGGAAGCAGCTACTAAGAAGCACGAAGCGATCGAAACAGACGTCAAAGCTTACGAAGAAAGAGTACAAGCTGTTATTGATGTCGCAAATGAATTGGAATCGGAGAAATATCATGATATCAAAAGAATCAATGCAAGGTTTGTCCTGTGTGGATATTTTATTATTATAGAAATAATTTTGATGTAATAATGTATCTAAATCAGGGTTGCAAACATTGACTCGTATTGCTTTTTTTGTTCTCATTATGTTTCCATAACTTGCTTCTTCTTTTTTCCCAATTTTATTTGTCTCTTATTTCTGACATTCAATTCGCACTCTTCAAGGTCACTGTCTAGCGTCATCGTATGTTCAAATTTGCAACAATTCAGATATGTTGTTTGTTATTGATGATTTTTTTGTTGGGATAATCACTGTATATTACCAGATTATACACCATGATACTGATAGCTCATCGTATATAAATTAAAATGCCTTCAAAATGAAAATATTTTTTGGTTGTATATGTTGTTTGTATTAAGTTTCTATGCTTCATGCCAAATTTGGCACAGTAAGTATTTGTTAATTAATTCTTATTTTTGCAGAAAAGAGAACATTCTTCAACTTTGGGAATATTTGCTTGAGCTCTTGCAAGGACGCCGAGCTCGTCTCGAGTTGAATGTCGAACTTCAACAAATGTTTCAAGAAATGTTGTCTCTTGTGGATTGGATGGAAGAAATGAAGGTTTGTTCGAATTTATTTGTTTTTGTATTTGTTTGGACGTCTTTGTCTGTTTGTTTAGATTGTTTGGGTGTACTAAATGTTGTAGGTATGCTTGTCTGGCTGTTTTCTGTCAGTCTGTCTGGCATGTTGTTGGGATGTCTTTTTATGTTTGTCTGATTGTTTATTTGAATGTCTCTATACATGGCTGCTTGTTTTAATGTATTCGTCTGCTTGTCTTGTTGTTTTGTGTCTGGCTGTCTAGCTTTGCCACAGTTACTTGTATTAGGTGTTTGTCTGACTGTTTGTTTGAATGTGTCTGGATGTTTTGTGTCTGGTTGTCTATCTTTGTCTAAGCGTTTTGTGTTTATCTAGTCTGGAATATATTTGACTTGCTCTGTGGGGTGTGCCAGTTTTGTCTGGTCTTAGATGGATTTGCCGTTGAAACCAGCAATATGTTTCAACCGGTTTTTTATGCCTTTGCGCTTATGATCCATATGCATATAATGCAGAAACACTGTAGCAAATTATTCTTCCAAAAACTATAGTGCTATGTGCATTTTCAAAACACTTGTTAATAAAATATTTCAGAACCAGCTGGAATCAGAAGATTACGGCCAACATCTGTTGGGAGTTGAAGACTTGTACCAGAAACATACATTACTCGAGCAAGACATTGCTGTGCACGGGGAAAGAGTTAAAACATTGGAGGCGCAGAGCATGAAGTTTATAGAACCAAGAGAGGATGGTATGTTAACTTTTTTATTGTATATCCTCGCATTTAAGCTGCGTTTAAGCCTAGCTCAGGTTGGGCTTTTGTCCATAACTCTGATCGCACTAAAAATTCGGCTTATTACGCACATTTGTCGAATTGCACTAATAATTTGGCTTATACAAGCATAACCCTGATCACGCTAAAAATTTGGCTTATGCACATATAAATCTGATCGCACTAAAAATTCGACTTATACAACTATGACTCTGATCACACTAAAAATTTGGCTTATACACATATAATTCTGATCACACTCAAACAAAATGATATTATGCTAACTCAATTCCAACAGCTACAACTCGAATCATGCTAAGTTCTCGCGATAAAAGCGTAAAATAAGGTGGCATGAGACCCCTATGGAGAAACTTTGATCTAAACACTATTCTTTTTTATGAATTATCGCAGAGGAAAACTCAAATTCAATAATTTTTCAGGTTACCAAGCTTGTGAACCAACTGTTGTCGAAGACCGTCGAAACCATGTTACAGCAACATATGACGAACTTCTAAAACTCGCAGCGAGACGACACGCCAAACTTGATGAATCTCGAAGACTGCATCAATTCTTCGCGGAAATGTCAGAAGAGACTGCTTGGTGCCGAGAGAAAGAAAGCGTCCTGACTTCTGATGATATCGGACGTGACTTGACAAGTGTTCAATCGCTTCTCAATAAACATAAGGTATGAATAGAAAATTTATTTTTCTTTGGGGGGAGGGGCTTTCCACACTTTCACTCTTAACAGTGCTCTGAAAAAGCAATCTCTTTTCTACTAAACTAAACCTAACCCAAGGCAGGGCTGGTAAAGGCAAAATCGTTTCGGTGATGACTGAAACTTACCTAACGTAAACCTAACGACCCAAGTAAGCCAAAGCTTTGATGGCATTCTACGTGACCGCATTTTAGACAGCAATGGATACCGGTATTTATCCTCAACGCTCAAACGAAAAGATATAATGGCTTTTTTATTGAAATCAATCATTAAAGATTGATCAGACTCTTCATATCGTTGTGGACCCTTTGTCTCTTAGTGGTTCACAGATGTCCGTTTGAGAGACTCTGACACAATATTTTAAAAATCTTGTGGCCTGTCACTTTATCAATTTTTAATTTCACAGGCTTTAGAAGATGAGATGGCAGGCCGTAAAATGATCAAGGACCAATCTATCAAAGCAGGAGAACTTTTGCTCGAACAAGAACATTTTGCCTCGGACGAAATCCGGTCTCGCATCAGCGAAGTTGAGCAACAATGGGAAAACTTGGATGATCTTGCAAAGGAACGTCGCAAGAAGTTGGAACAAGCAAATGATTTATACCAGGTAAGAATCTGATTCACTATGTGCTGTCTTTGGCACACATGCCACAGAAAGTATGTTGGGTGGTACTTGGGTACTCCTGTAATATGCGAACATAGATGGCGGACACCAGAACGTAGTTTGTGTACCAGGTTGGGGTTGGGCCATAATTTCCGGTACAAATACTATGGGAGTTACTTGGCTAGTCTCCGAACTCGAAATAGAACTAAAATAAGGAAAATTAGAATAAAATAATGGCCTAACCCTAACCTGGTACACATACTACGACCGGTGTCCGACTTCTTGGTTCACATATCATAGGATTACCTAGAAGTATGTGAACCAATATGGAGGTAGCTAATTTTGTCCGCCTACTTTTACAAGTTCAAGTAGTGTGAAGGGACTGAAACCTATGGACATGGCATATTCATTTGGTTAACACAGACAGTTCCTGAACTCGTAATAAAACTGAAACAAGGAGAATCCGAAATAAAATTATGGCCTAACTCAAACTTGGAACACACACTATACGGGAGTCCCGATGCTTGACTGTTCTACAAATCTTTAGCCAATGGTGCAGTCGCCATAAAAGTTCACTCATATGCCATGTTTGACACCTGTGCCATTGGGAATAAGTTAGTTCTGTGATACTTGGCTTCGAAAAATCTTGGCATGCCATGAAGTTCCACTTATATGTCATGTTTTAACACACATGTCACAGAGATCATCCTGTTTGCCAGCTAAAACAGCTCATGAAAATCTTATGACTTTGCTATCTGTGCCTGTTTTATGATTCAACCAATTAACAACTAATTTGAATATTGCAATACTAATTGTAAGCACCGGGCTATATTCATGCCAGGAATAGGCGCTTTTGTGCCACGTTTGACACATGTGCCATGGGTGGTTGTCCTTACTACTTACTGTCCGTAGCAAGCTACTTGGGGTGCCAGGAATATGTATCAATGTGCCACATATTATATGCCGTGCCATATTTGACACACATGTCATGGATTACTACTACTTACTATCATTAACGCCCCACTTTCCTTTCTAAGTTCCTAGCAGATGCCTATTTTTCGTGGCATGGCAATTCACTCGGTGCCATAGCAATTCACTTGTGCCACGTTTAACACCCTTGCCATGAGTTAGTTGGGTGATACTTGACTGTTTATCAAATCATTCTCTTTCTCAGTTCCTAGCAGATGCTGATGATGTCGACATCTGGCTGGTCGACACGTTGCGTCTAGTTTCAACAGATGATTGCGGACGTGACGAAGCCTCAGTTCAGACATTGTTGAAAAAACATAACCAAGTGCAGACTGAGTTAAAGGATTTTGCGTCACAGATACAGGCAATGCATGAACAGGTATTAGGTTTTTGTTTTGCTATTTTGGAATTTATTGAGTAATGCCATTTTTTATATTTGAAAAAACTTGATATCATAAGACATGAAGACATAATCCCAAATTATTAGAGAAAAAATTCACACACTTACACAAAAGAAGTATTGATGCATTTAAATAAAATTCAATTTTGTAATCGTTAATTCTGTTAATTTTCGAGGCGCACTCAGCAAAAAAATCTTTGTCAACCGCTGACGTATGACATAGTTTTTTATTTGGGCATTGTACACCTTTTTTATAGTGCAAGTTTTCTCGAAGGAGGTCTGTTATCTTTCAGCTAAAAATTGAAAAAGTATTGATAGAACAGTTTTAAGTTCGCTTAAAAGTAAATATCCAAAATAAAGAAATGTAAATATCTAAAATATCCAACAAATATTTTTATTTTCAATTTGCTTCACAGCCCATAAATTTTTTTCGCAATCACCTCCCCCCCCCCCCCCCCCCCCCCCCCCCGCCCTGCCATTGCGATAGACTCCTAACACAACAAAATTTATATTTTCATTTCCTCCAGGCTGAAAAGCTTCCTGAACACGATCGAGAATCGATCGAAGTCCAAGAACGTTTGAGAAGTATCGACAATAGATACAAAGAACTACAGGATCTTTCTAAACAAAGAAAAGAAAAACTCATTGATGCCAGGTCTGTTAAAGTATTCTTTGCAGTCAGTGAATGTTTGATATTGTGGCATCGAAGTCTTTATAAAATTTTCAAAAGGACAACATCCCGCATCCGACCGTTACTCTTTTTCATTTACTAGATCTCTTGGAAATTCAAAATTTCCATTTTGGCTTCACACTTGTAAAGTCCAGTTTAATCTGGCTCAAATTGCCTTTGAAATAAGTCTAATCTCCAAGGGTCTCACATTTGACCGATACTTTTTTTTATATACTAAATTTTTTTTTAAAATTCAAGATTTCAATTTTGGTTTTACTTTTTGTTACCAAAAAGAGTTCTGACCGGTTCAAACTGGCTCAAACTGTCTTTAAAATAAGTCAACTCAGTTGCGTATCACAAGGGTCTCTCTTTGACCAATACTCTTTTTTATATACTAGATCCCTTTACAAGTTCTTCAGTGAGGCAGATACTTGTCTTGTATGGATTGATGAGAAAGAACAAGTCCTGAGATCTCTTAGTATTCCTGATAATATAGAAGATATGGAATTGATTCAACATAGATTTGATGGTAAGAATGAGAAAGTGAAAAAGCGATAATAATCTTGTTTTATGGCATGCGAGTCATGATCTGAAGCAGGGTGAGATTGGCAGGTCCGCGGGCCACAAAATTACTTATGCATTGTTCGCAGGCCACAACAGTGTCAAGAACTTTGCTCGTTTAACTATGCTAATTGCCTCAGCAAGCCATAACATTAGTCAATCCAGTAACATTAGTGATGCAACAATATGTCAAAAAAATTTTTGGTTAATTTTATGGCGAAACAACACGAAATGCGATTTTTTGATTCCTCTTCAAATGTGACGCGGGTCACAGATAATAAGGTGGAGGGCCAAATGTGGCCCGCGGGCCTGGGTTTGGACCACACTGATCTGAAGCAATGGTTCTCTAACCACGACCCTCAGCCCATCCGGCTTGCCTATTAATTTAATACGGCCCGCCGAACTTGATTAAATTGGGTTTTAACACTTTGTGCTTTCATCTTTTTACATTCGAGATACTGCCAATTGTTAGTTAAAAATTACTTATCGACCTGAAGATCGGTATAGGTATTTGTTTGTTTGTTTGTCTGTTAGATGCACGCAATATCTCACGAAAGCGAGGTTGAATCTGCTCCAAATTTTGCATGTGCATTCATCATATCTCGGACCAGAAGCCTATTGATTTTGGATGAATTATGTTGTATTATTAGCGAGTTATTGATTAATTAGTGATGGGACACGTGCCACTATGGAGTAAGAGTGTTGTTTTGGGGGATCCCCTAACCTTCGATCGATAAGTCTTCGGTCTCCGACCGATATTTTCGGTTATTTTATCACTAAATTTTTTTTTTCTGATAGCTGAGCTTGCATCACTCTTATCAGATAAACCTTATCAATTTTCATTTCTAACAGATTAAATGTATCTTATATTTTCAGGGTACGAGAATGAAATCAACAAACATGCTCCACAGATAGCCATTGTGAATCAGGTTGCCAGAGGATTGCTACATTCCCAACATCCTAACTCTGATCAGATTGCGGTAAAACAAAACGATTTAAATGCAAGGTAATGTTATATGTTCCTTCATTCTCTATGTGACAAATTGTGTGTGATTCCTTCTATCATGTGTTATTGCATCTAAACTTATGTGTGTTTTCTTCCACTATGTGGCAATTCTTAACTCTGAACTCTGACCAGATTTCAGCAAAACAAAATGATTTGAATGCGAGGTAATGTTATATGTTCTTTCATTCTCTATGTGACAAATTGTGTGTGATTCCTTCTATCATGTGTTATTGCATCTAAACTTATGTGTGTTTTCTTCCACTATGTGGCAATTCTTAACTCTGAACTCTGACCAGATTTCAGCAAAACAAAATGATTTGAATGCTAGGTAATGTTATATGTTCTTTCATTCTCTATGTGACAAATTGTGTGTGATTCCTTCTATCATGTGTTATTGCATCTAAACTTATGTGTGTTTTCTTCCACTATGTGACAATTCTTAACTCTGAACTCTTACCAGATTTCAGCAAAACAAAATGATTTGAATGCTAGGTGATGTTATGTGTTTTTTCATTCTCTATGTGACAAATACCTGTTTTTTAATGCAAAGTAATCTTAGGTGTGGTTTCACTTTTTCTATGTGAAAATTATCTGTGACACATCACACATGTGTATCGGCAACATTGTTAGTTGCTTTTCGTGTGCTTTGAACCAATATGTGACAATTATCTCTAGCAAAAAGTGGAAATGTAAATATCCAAAATACAGCAGGCAAGATCAAATCTAACAAAATTTTATTTTTAATTAGCGCTACGCCCACTGAAAAATTGTCCACGCCCCCTTGTGGGCCGCCCTTCACCGTTTGTCAACCACTGATCTAGAATTTTTCTCTCTTCCCCTCTTGTAAGGAATATCTGGAATCTTATCCCAGAAGTCTCTTATGTTCAAATTATACATAAAATTTTCTTCAGATGGAATGAGCTTCGAGCTCTCCTTGATCTACGCCGAGAAGCTTTATCTTCTGCGCAAGGAATTCAAAGTTTCCAACTTGAGTGTGATGAAACAAAGACCTGGATAAAAGAGAAGTCACGATTGGTCGGTTCAACTGAGGATTTAACCAATGATCTTGCAGGAGTAATGGCTCTACAAAGAAAGCTGTCGAGCATGGAAAGAGATTTGGCTGCCATTCAGGTAGTGTATAATTATAAAACGAGAATATCGGTCGGAGACCGAAGACTTATCGATCGAAAGGTAGGGGATCCCCCAAAACAACGCTCTTACTCCATAGTGACACCATGTGTCCCATCACTAATTAATTAATAACTCGCTAATTATACGACACAATTCATCGAAAGTCAATAGGCTTCTGATCCGAGCTATGATGAATGCACATGCAAAATTTGGAGCAGATTCAACCTCGCTTTCGTGAGATATCGCGTGCATTTAACAGTCAGACGGACAAATAAACAAACAAACAGACAAATACATATCCACATACTTACCGATCTTGAGATCGATAAGTAATGATTCTGGGAAAATGCCGTTTTAATAATTTTTATGAATGCTCAGATTGACATATTCGAAGTGGAGAGGGCTGGAAAGTCTAAAACAGTGGTTCCCAACCTTTTAAGGCTTGTGGGATCCCTTAAGGAGTATTTAGCACTCATGGGCCACCCTGTTTGTAATTGCAGTGGTGTTCATAGTGTTATTGTTATTGGTTGATTCTAAATCCCATTATGTTCAAACAATTCATGCTTAACAAAGTGAAAACACCCTGTAAAATAACCTTATCAAGCAATGAAACAAGGGAGAACGGGGATGAGGGAAGTGAGTTTCAGAATTTCGAATCGAAGCATAATACTACATAATTCTACATAATATTATTATAATAAAACATCATCGCTTTATACCTTTTTATAAACATGTCTGCGATGCTTCTCTCGTTAACATTGCTTCTTTTAAAATCATGGCGCATACGGTACTACTTAGCGTTTATCATTTGGATAAATTTTGAAGATCAATTTTAGAATAAACAATCGCTATACACCCAGTATTATTTGCAAACATAATTGTATGTAAGTAAATATGTAACTGAGTATACCTTTATGTAACCAAAAATAAATCTCGGCCGTAATATATTTGGTAGTTATACATCCACGCAGTGTGTTTTTCTAGTAACTTTCCTAATTCTTTAAGCTCATTATTGTTATTTTATCAAAATTTATACTATATTTCTTTCAAATTTGAAAAAATTCAACGATAATATGATGATATACTAAATACAGTCAGATTCGGGAATATTCGAATCGGAACATTGTGATTCGAAATTCGATTCGAAAAAAAAATATTCGAAACTTACATCCCTAACGGGGAGTTTTCTTGTAAAGGGAAAAATAAAATCAGTTTTGCGCCTAGTATTGGGGCTTTCCTCCAACTGCTCTGCGGCCCCGGTTGAACCACGGTTCTATGCTATAATAAATATGTATTGACATAGATAAAGAAATATACGCACAAGACTGAATTATTCATTTCCATTTCCCATACAGGCAAAACTGGACAACCTACAGGATGAAGCGGATAAACTTGCGGCAGAACATCCTGAAGAGGCTGATGATATAAGAAAGAAATTCGACGAAATCACAAACGTATGGAAAGAATTGAAGGAATTACTGAAAAAGAGGGAAGACTCCCTCGGAGAAGCAGGAAATCTCCAGAAATTCTTGCAGAATTTGGATGATTTCCAGGTTTGTGTTTTTTATAATTTTTTGGGCGCTCCTGAAGTATGTGCACCAAAATGGCGCACAACTTGAACCCTGACCTGGTACAACTACTATGTTCAGGCTGTGCGCCATCTTGGTGCACATACCTCTGGAGGTCCATTTTTGGTCTATTAATATCACATGAAATCTGGACTGCAATAGAGTAGGGTAAGTTTATATGCACACATTGAATTTCAAGCTTTTAAGAAATGTTTCTCAGCTTTATATTGACAAGTTTTGACTAAGACTCCCCTGAAAGGGAATCGTTACCCAACTCAAAGTCCAGCAATGAAACTATGAAGAATGGGGAGTTTGGCTTTTGAGGAAAAGTCAAATCGCTGTTCATGAATTTGTTGCACTACGATAATTCTCCAATTCTTTTAGCATACTTTCACAGTACATCATTTCTAAGTTTGTAATACAACGTCATTTTCAAAACAGACTGTATGAAATGGATTGTTTTATATTACTAACAATATCACATGAAATCTAGGCTTTAGATTCGAGGAAATTTAAACATAACTTGGAATTCATGCTCTGATTTCAAGTTGGTGAACAATTTGGCTTCCGATTGAGTATTCCACCTCCAATGTTCTTGTTCAGCTTAAATACTTTTCGGGTCTCTGCCAGAACTTTTTACTTCGATCATCTCTATTAGAAATCTGAAATTTGATTAAACGAGCAACGAGAATATCGGTCAGAGACCGAAGACTTATCGATCGAAAGTTAGGGAATCCCCCAAAACAGCGCTCTTACTCCATAGTGGCACCTTGTGTCCCATCACTAAATAATTGATGACTCGCCAATTATACGACATAATTCATCCAAAATCAATAGGCTTCTGGGCCGACATATGATGAATGCACATGCAAAATCTGGAGCAGATTCAATCTCGCTTTCCTGAGATATCGCGTGCATCTAACAGACAGACAACAGCCAGACAGACAAATATTAAAATCGATAAGTAATGAACAATGTTTAAAATCGTAAATCTATTCTATACAGGCCTGGCTTACAAAGACCCAAACTGCCATTGCATCAGAGGATATGCCACAAACTTTGCCGGAAGCTGAGAAGTTACTGCAACAACATACAGCTATTAAAGCAGAGATAGACAATTATGAGGTATGGAGTTATTTTTTTTTCAGGGCAGGGCATCTAGGAGGAAGGAAAAAATATTAAATATTGTTTTCGGCACAGGAGTTGTGAGGGAGTGTTGGAGTGGAAACATTTTTTGGGCAAGTGTTGAGAGCTTTATCGGGGAGTAAAAAAAAATTGGGGGCATGGGATTTATGGGCGAATTGCTCAGGTACTGAAAAAAATTTAGAGGTATAGGAATTGGGGGGATGGTGATTTTTTTGGGAGTAAAAAGAAGTTGCCAATATTTTTAATAATCATAAATTTTTGAATATAGTGTTAGGATTTTTATCGGGAATGGGGTGAAATTTTTTTTTAATTATGATGGAATTTATTGCAGAATTGTTTGGAGAGATGACGGTTTTACTCTTGCTTAGATATTTCGTGATAGGCGGGATATGACACATTGAAATTCTAGTGACATCTATGCATGTTTTGCTACAAAAGGTTTTTTCTTGATTGACATGTTTTGTGGGTGCTGGCTAGGTAGAATTATATAAAAATATTCAGAAAATTATTGAATACAATTTGAAGCTGTATGAATGATATATTTAGAACAAAAAATTTAACGCTGTTTGTAAACACAGAGATATCGAAGCAATTTGATAAAAGTGTCATTTCCATTTTTTATCAATACTCATCTCCGAAATCATTAGATTATGACTGAGTTTCATTATTTCAGGATGATTATCAGCGCATCAAAGAAACAGGAGCCAAAGTTACTGAAGGAAAAGAACAAGATCCTCAGTATATGTTCTTGGCACAAAGATTGCAGGTCATGATTGCTTTAATTTTCAACATTTTTTTGCACTGATCAGTGTTTAAAGGCTATATGCTTGAAGTTGTATTTTTTAACTTTGAAATTTCTTAGAGCAAGGTCATGCAAACTCATCCAGAAGTGAACACTCTTCTTCCAGAAAAAGTTACACACGACCACTGATGTCAAAAAATACAATATAGAATTGTGGGTTGGCAATTTTGGGGGCCATTTTGGAGCATCCTTTAGCATTTCAACAGCCATCTGTACATTGCTTGGATATGAGTTTCCTTTATTTCTAAATGAGTGAGGGTGATTTTGCTTCAAGCAAAATCTCTAATAATTAATCATAAAAACAGCAGTACTTCCATTTTTTTTCTAAGTCTTTTTTGTTTTCAATTTTTTTTTTATCTAGAATTAACTCTTTGATTCTTTTTTCAGGCATTGGACCAAGGTTGGGATGAACTACAGCAAATGTGGGAAAACAGAAACAAATTCCTCACTCAAGCTCATCAATATCAGACCTTTGTGAGAGACGCGAAACAGGTATTGAACAGATATTATTCAACTGTTCTTGAGTAAACTGATATTTCAGAGTCCAGGCACACAACTGAATGGTTGTGGCAACACTTTCACGAACACCTTGGCAATTTATTCACCATAGTTCTTGACAATTTTGGCAAAGTGTTTTACAAAAGCCAATAAAATAACAGAATGAAGAAGTGACTGGAAGCGTCTAGCGCCCTCCAACAGCCTAGTACCAATTTTAAGTGGTGTGCGGGATGAGTTTTTATTTTGGTTTTAATCTGGTACGTGCTAGCAATACCCATTCATTTGTGTTGCAAAGCCTATACCACAGTGGTTCTCAAACTTTTTGAAAAATTAGGCAAGACGGTCCTCTTGCAATTTTTCTGATGACACCAAAAAAATGAAAGCAAATGACTCTTAAACAGTACAATGAGCCTGCTTGGCATCCACTAGTTCTTCTACCTTGGGTTCTGTTTTGGACAACTTAACTCTTAAATCATGTCTCACGTTTCAACATTGTTTTCATAGCTAGTAACGTAGAAAAAGCTGCCTCACATTCGTATGTTATTGTAAATGAAATAAGCGTTTTTGGGGCCATCTTAGCGACATCGGTATAGGGCGGTGCCACTGTGGTTTTTCTTTTCCTCCAGCACAAATCACAGCAAAATCAAATTGCGCATATGAATCGTTATATCTAAATTTATTTTTTATGATGAGGGGCATTTTTGATTACTCGAACAAATTTACAATCAGATGCACACGCCTTTCATAAACAATACGCTCTGATTTGCTGTACTTGCCACGTTCACCAAAGTTTGTCTTCGATAGAGCGTGTCGTGCGTTGGAGAAACACTGTAAAAGCATGACATCAAAATTTTACTTCAAATCACAGTGAGAGGTTGGGGTTGTCTTGCGGTCCCTCTTAAATCGCTTCGCGAACCCCAGTTTGAGAACCAATGCTATACCAATTTATTATCTATGCCTATGACGTTACAATGCGCTTGTGCAAAGTGAACAACGCATCTCATTACATCAATAACCAAAATCTTTGTTCGTGCAGCTACTAGAAATCATTTGTTACACAAAGATGCTGCCAGTGGTTTCACCCAGTTATTTCTGTAATAAAAGTTCTCCTGTAATAGAAGTTGCTCACCTCTACTCTAAACTACTACGCTTTCACTGTTAGTGTGAATATAGAACACGCTAAGTTCTATGTATTTTCAGAGAAAATAAAGCCTAACTATTCCTTTCAAAGGCTGAACAACTTCTCAGTAATCAAGAATATGCTCTTGCAAGCACTCGAGCTCAGGCATCAGCAGTGTCCCCTGTAGAAGAAGAAGATGGTCAGGAGACTGTCGACGCTGTCGCTGCCCGAGGCCCTGTTGCATCACCAGATGTCGCTGAAGAGGCATTGAAAAAGCATGAAGCGTTTGTCGCTTCTATGGCAGCTAATGATGAGAGAATTAACGCTGTGCTAAGGTTTGTGAATGTAGCTGTGAAAATATGTTTTTTATAGAAGTGACTTGCTCAAAATAAGACTATACACACTCACTTAAAAGCAAATGAGACTCATCTGAGCAAAGTTTCGGTCCTACTGGAATAAAATAACTACTCGGACTTATCTAAAAAGTAAATGAGAATCATCTGTTAGCTAAGTCATGAGCAAACACTGAAATGGAAAGAGCTACTTACACGCAGAAGAGACTCACCTGTGAGAAAACTCACAGACACTGAGAAGTAAAGAGGACTCCCCTCTGAGAAAAATTAGGGTCGACCACTGAATTGCAAAGAGCTACTCGCACTCACTGAGAAGTAAAGGGGACTCATCGCTTTGCAGAGTTATGGGCACTCAAAAGTACAAAAGTAAAAGAGACTCATCGCTTTGCAGAGTTATGGGCACTCACTCAAAAGTACAAAAGTAAAGGAGACTCATCTCTGACCAAAGTTATGAGCACTCACTCCAAAGCAAAATAGACTCATCACTGAGAAAATTTACAGACATTCACTCAGGAGTAAAGAGGACTCAGCAGTCAGCACTGAGCAAAATTATAGTCGATTGCTGAATAAAGAGATATTCTCACACATCCAGAAGACTCATCTCAGAACTAGGTTTTGGACTTAATTGCCCTGAGCTATGCGCACTCACTCAGAAGTATAGGAGACTCATCTCTTAGCAAAATTACATACTCCACTAGAATCCCAAGAGCTACTGAAAAACAGAAAACTTGTCAAACATTTACTTTTTACATAGAATAACTTTTGAAAAGACTTTTAAAGGCCCTATTTTACATTACACTCAAAGATGCTCAAAATGCCGTCCGTGCACTTTAGAGCAGTGTCTTAACCTAGAAGCCCATGCTCGTGTAGCATTTTAAGAATTATCTTGTGGGATATTGTTCCATGCTTGATTGCAAATCATCATTAGCGACCACCCTCCATATAGAATTTTGGTGATGCATTACTTGCCAGTATGTGAAATAACAGTAATGTTTATTTCATTTCTAGATCTGCAGAAACTCTCTCAGACCCAGATCTAGAACATTATGCTGCCGATAAAATATCTGAGCGAGCGGAAAAAGTTGACGAGAGACAGAAGAAGAATAAACATGAGGCAGAAGAGGTTATGGAATTGTTACAGGTATGGATAATGTCTCACAACCTCTCCTGTCTTAAATAAACTGGCTTTAGAAAGTCTCGTTAAATTTATAATGTAACATTGCATCTACATTGTTATGCAAAGCCTCCGCTATTCTGATTCTATGTATTCTGTCGAAATCGTGAGATACATGTTGTGCATTAGTTTTAATAATTGTGTTCCGAATCAAAAGTTGAAAAAAGTACAATAAATAAGTACTAATGCTAGTGTATATCTAATATATAGACACAAAATGGTACAAGTATGCAATCTGTCACAGCAGCAGATTTAAACTTACGCGAAAGCGGAACCGCCCTAAGAGGGCAAAATGTAATTTTGATGACTTTGTCACGAACAAAAATCGAATCCCAAAGAGGCCATGGAAATTTGGAATAATCAAAAGTAATAGCATTCTAGCGAATAATACATCCTTTATACTCTGAAAATTTCAAAGCAATTGGTCCAGTAGTTAAGGAGAAAAGCGATTTCTTCATAACAACGATAAGAAGAAGGAAAGAAATACTAACATGACAACCAACAACAACAACAAAACGAGAATATCGGTCAGAGACCGAACCCCTATCGATCGAAAGTTAGAGGATCGCCCAAAAAAGCGCTCTTACTCCATAGTGACACCTTGTGTCCCATCACTAATTAATTAATAACTCACTAATTATACGACATAATTCATCCAAAATCAATAGGCTTCTGGTCCGACATATGATGAATGCACATGCAAAATCTGAAGCAGATTCAATCTCGCTTTCGTGAGATATTGAGTGCATCTAACAGACAGACAGACAAATACCTATCAACATACATAAAAATGGATAAGTAATAACAAAGCGATCTGTAGGTCCACTTCATGTCCAATTATATTTTTGAATACTGGGCCTTTGAATAGCTTTACAAAATCGTTGTTATTGATCAATTGCTATTTGTTTGGGGGGAATAAGAATTGCTTTTTTTTTCTATTACTTGATCAATCGTTTTCAAATTTTCAGCAGTTGAGTATGGAAGTGTTCATGAGTATAATAAAAGATATTCTCCAGAGCATCTGTTATCTGACCTTTTGACCTTTTTAGTTATTACGAGCTCTTCATTTTTCTATAAACTAATCAAATTTTCATTTTTGTAGGAAAATCTCTCGATGCAAAAATTCTTTGCTGATTGTGAAGACCTGAATAAATGGATAAATGAAAAAATGTTGACAGCGAAAGACGCTACGTATGATGACGCAAGAAATTTGCACTCCAAGTGGCAAAAACATCAGGTTGGTGTTGTATTAGGACTGTTTCGAGGGGGACTGGGAAGATGACTTTAAATGAGAGAATATTGACCAGATGCGTGGTAAAAGGGAGTTATGTTGTAATTCTTATTCGAAGGTGGAGAAGGCAAAGGAACATATTTGCTAATACACATCAGTTATGCTGTGCCGGTTCGCTGATTCAAATCTTGTGGGAGGTAATAACACATGTGAAAAGAACCCACATGGCATCATTACACATAACTACTCATTTGTTACAGCTTTCTACACCATCTAAGATTTGGCAACAGGATTGATTAACTATTTTTTTCTGCCCACATACATTATCTAGACTTGGAACCAGATGAGAGTTTGGGGTTCTGACTAAAATTGTTGTATCAACATTTCCTTTGTCTTGATATATGTTTGGACGAGACTGCAATTGAGTCTTCAAATTTTCCATGTTTTACTCTCCTTATCCCCTAATTTTTTTCATATTTGAATAACCACTGCAATACCAGCCTCATATTCTCCCGAACTGTAATTCTTTATATTTTTCTTGCACCAGGCTTTCGCTGCAGAACTTGCGGCCAACAAAGACAGACTCACACAATTAGAAAAAGAAGGTGACAAGCTCGCTGAAGCAAAACCAGAACGAACAGATGAAATTGAAACCCGATTGGATGAATTACGTAAAAAGTGGGCGGAGCTTGAATCTAGCACCGCCTCCAAAGAGAAGACTTTGTTTGAAGCTCACAAATCTGAATTGTTTGCTCAGGTGAGAGTTTTTCTGTTTCTCTTGTTGACAGATTTTTCTGCTTTTTAGCGGTTTAAACCGGTTTCGACCAGGTTTATGCAAACTGAAAAGTACATCCAGTCTTATTGCTGCCTTCATTTTAACTTTGGGTTGTGGAGATTTATTTACTTACGTGTGGTAAGGTGGGGCTACTAATCCTGTCTCCAAAATTGGTCGGTAATTTATTAAAACATGTCAAAATGAGAGAACGCATTAGCGTGTAACTGAGGAAAAAATAAGTAAAATAGAATCGATATATCTAGAGCACGCATTGGTGCTGAACTGACAAACCACATAATATTTCTACCTTGACTTATTGGGCGGTAATATGGTCAATCCCTATTACTGCTAGAAATAGATCTCTACTTATTTGCCAAGTGAGCTTAATAGCCCGAAAATATGTCATGTCTTTTGAACATCTGACAACTATAATCTGTGGTACATCATTAGGTATTTAAGGCTTCCTATTAGATTTTATTTAATCGTAGAATCAAGAATAAAGGGTGTGACTAAATTTTCAGTTCTCCCATAGTATGTGTACCAGGTTAGGGTCAGGCCATAATTTGATTCCAAATTTCCTAATTTTACTTCTATTACGAGTTCGGGGACTGTCTGTGTTAGCCAAGTGAATATACTCCCTGCCCATTGATTTCAGTTCCTTTACACAACTTGATGTAAAATAGGGGAGCGAAATTAGTTACCTCCATATTGGTACACGCACTTCTGGAGCGCCAAATTTTCACTTGATATTACTTCTTTTCAGACTTGTGAGGATCTTGAGAAATTTGTCACACAAATGGAAGGCCAGCTTGCTTCAGAGGAATACGGAAAAGATCTGGCGAGTGTTAACGCTTTGTTGAAAAATCATTCCACAAATGAAGATGAAGTCGAAGTAAGAATACAAGAAGTACAGGAACTGGAAAGCCAAGGTTTGTAGATAATAACAGTTTCTCTGAACAAGGCTTTTTTTAGGCCAGGGGGGGAGGGGGGGGGGGCAAAGTATTTTTTGCATACAGTAAATCTTTTAGCAAAGCGCAGTGTTTGGGAAGAGTACTTAATTTTTTCTAAAGGCCGTGTCATATAATACCTTTATGATAGCATCTAATTCAATAGTTTAAATTATTGATAATGAGATGAGAAAAGCATTATTTGTTTAACGATCCATCGTTTAGATATTTGAATACAGTTTAAAATTAAATCCCACATTTGTATGTGCTCCCAATTTTCTCCAAGAGCAGGGAGGCTGCAAAAAAGGTCACAGTTTGCATATTCCTACTCTAGGCGTAGCAGCTTTATTATAACTAACGCACTTTGTTGTCTGTGAGCTGTCGGCAATTGAATTTTTTGTCACATGGTTCTTGACCATATGTATTCATGTACAGATGCCACACTTGACTCTTCCCAGAAATAAGTTTTTTTTAGTTTTGAGTTTTTGGTGAGTGACCTTGCTTTGAGCGTTGATTGAAAAAAAATGGGTCATCAGCATATTCAATCTGCCATTATATTAATTTAAATAATCCATTTTTTCAGCGAACACTCTCCGAGATGAAGGCAGTGATGTTGATGAAATGGATCAAAAACGAAACGAAGTTAAGAATCGTCTTGAAGAATTGATTGAACCTTTGAACAAGAGAAAACAAATGCTGGGCAATAGCAAACAACTTCATCAGTTCTATAGGTAAGATGTTCTTTTTTGAATGCTGTTAATAGCTTGTAAATTGTACAATTTGGCCATAACCCATAGGCAGTGTTCTCTCTTAGAAAATGGTGCAGTTGCGCACCATGGCGAGAACCTTGCCTATTATGCATACTTGAATTCATTTGATTGATCAAACCAGTAATTTTCAAACAGTGCATAGAAGTCAGGGGCGAAGCCAGGAATTTCTAAAGGGGGTGGGGAGATTCTGAGGTCATTTTCCAGAAATCGGTTTTCATCTACAAAAAATTGCCATTTATGATACAGGAAAATGTTTTTTTTTACCTTTCAGAAGGAGGCTCAACCTGGCTGCGCCCCTGTTCGCCAATGAGGTTATTGTTACTAGATTCCAAAATTATTTGTGGCATAATATTCAACCTTCGCACATTGAAAGGATCTATAGATAGTTATATCAACCAGACATTTCGGCACTGCCTATAATTTATTAGGTGCTCTCGAAGTATGTGCACCAAAATGCCGCACAACCTGAACATAGTATGTGTACCAGGTTAGGGTTATCAGGTTGTGAGTCATTTATTATACCCTGAGCGAGGTATGCACATGGAAATTGTACCCAAGATTTGTGATCTGCGATGCTAACCTACCGTAGTTAAGTCTAACACTTTGGCCCATTGCGCTGCTATGCAAAATATCGAATCCTTCTTTTGAGTAACTTGTGCAGAGTGAAGTTGTGTTTACAATCATAAATCATTACAAACATATACTTTATACAGAGATGTAGAAGATGAAAAGATGTGGATCGATGAGAAACTACCACTGGCAACCTCTGTAGAACATGGTGCCAGTTTGCAGGAAGTCCAATCTCTACAGAAGAAAAATCAGGTATTGTTGGATTTTGTGAGTTTTTGTTTTATATGTGAAAAATAAAAACTAAATGCAGATGAAAAGTGCATATACATGTCCTACTTCCAGGCCTGTTCCAAACTATATATCAGGGCTTCTCAACTATATTTACCAAAGATCTGTAAACAAAACTTCAAAATTACTGGGGTCCATTCTTTGACCTCCTTAAACGTGCACTTCCTCAGCAGTACAGTTCTTTTCATATATATGTTTTTATAAAAGACAACCTTCACATATCTAATAGGCCAATGATCTAAAATAAGGAATTAGGTGTGATCTGAATCGAAAACTGGGATGGTTCGTATTCGGACCACGGTCTGCCAGTTGAGTAGCCCTGCTATATATTACCATCACCAAAGCGGCATCTTCACACAAAGATGAGATTTTACTGAGATTGTACTGCTTCAACATGAGCTCATCGCGCCCACAAGCGATATTGAATAATAATTACCAAGTCGCAACAAGTAATGGCACAGTGATCACAAGTGTCTGGTAAAGTAATCAAACCAAAACATTCACAGCAGAGAAAGTGCTTTCAGTTGGATCAGTGGTTTCCAACCTTTTTTTGTCAAATTCTTCCTTTTCCCAATTTTGAAACTTTTCATTCCCCCTAACTATGCATAAAGGCACTGTTTTTATTTGCAGTTAAATATTTCATTTATCAGTAGATAATTAAGTTGTGAAATGCGCAATTTGCACTCAGGCTTTTGAATAGCACACTCAAATACAAAAAAAGGTTTTCTTTTACAAAATAGTAAAATTTCTTCATGACTGGGGAAACGTTGAGTTCTCGGCCATGTTCATCCCCCAGGGCTCAGCATTAGGATTTTCTAAACAACACTGAAATGGATAAATATGAGTCACGTTAGCACTAAGAGTTGAAAATAAAGTTCTTTAAAAATTATGTTTTTGAATATTATAGTCTCTGAAGTCAGAAATTGATGGACATGAACCTCGCATTGAAGCGGTATGTGCACGAGGCCAGCAGATGGCAACAGAGGACAACCCACATTCTGATAAGATAAATGATAAGATACACGACCTCAAGGATAAATGGGAAGTGTAAGTATAATATGTATTAACTTGAGTTTTAATTATTCAGAAAAAACAGGGGTTGAGATTAGGGCTGGGCACTTCAAATCGAATAGTAAATTGTTAGAATCCATTCAGACGGAAATTACAATTCTTTCATTGAAGCAATATTTTTGCAATACAATCCTGGCTTATGACATTTTTCCTTCTAGTGAGTTATTGATGAAACATGTTTTTTATTGTTTGAGACCGCTCAGCGAACCATCTTGAATAATGAATACTGTGGTTTCTGTAATTTATGTGACTGGAGGATTCATGAAAAGTCACATACGATTGAATATCTTTCAAGTATTTGAGATTCGATTCGAAAAAAATATTTGGTTTAATTCGATTCTGAAATCATCAGGTATTCGAAAATGCCCAGTTAGGAGTCAAACATATTTCTTGAATAATGCAGCCATGAGTTATCCATTCCTGTAGAAAAATTTGCAATATAGGCGCGGCAAAAACTAAAAATTTTGTTCAATAAAACATAAATATCCCACAGAATGTTGGGAATTAGTAAGATAGAATTTACTGATTTATCTCAGGGGAGAGCAAAGCCAAAAAGATGGCTTAATCATACAGTATATCTCAGCCTCTCCCCTGGTTACCAGTCCATGCCAGATATGGGATTGGCGTGTTTTTTTTTAGTTCAAGGCTTCGAAAATGTCATTTCAATGTTTTACAACCTTTTTGTTAGCCTGTCAGAAGAAGTCGAAGCTCGCAAAAACAGACTTGAAGAGGCCGAAAAGGCTCAGCGTTATTACTTCGATGCGGCGGAAGCCGAGCAATGGATGGGAGAACAAGAATTGTACATGATGTCCGAGGAAAAGGCAAAGGTTGACTGCTTATTGATTTTCTTTTTTTCATCATTTATTCCGGAACTTTTCCAGTTATGCCCCCACTTATATCAATAATTCTTCTTTTGCTTGATAATGCTGAAAATTTTTAAAATTTAGTCAAATAATGGTGAATGCATTGATAAAGATGACCCCATAAACAAAATACGGACCTTCTGGAGTATGCACACCAAGATGTCGCACAACCTGAACCCTAACCTGGTACACGGCCTGAGTTCAGGTTGTGCGCCATACTTTTATTAGTGAGTGTGAGGGGGATAACTGGGAAAGGTCTGTTATTTCAAATGGGGTTGCCTATAATTGAAGATTCTACTATTTGGAATACATTTTAAGTCAAGGAAGGGTGACATTTTTTGTCGGTGGGACATATAACTAACTTAGACATCTAACTGGGCCACACAACAATGTTGAATACGGGCATCTCTAAACGTTATATCTTCTTCTGTCGCATCTTACAATCTAAAAATTGCCAAATTGTCGAATACGGAAATCTCTAAACGTTACAGTAATATATCTTTTTCTGTCGCATCCTACAATCTAAAAATTGCCAAATTCCCTTTTGGGGGTAGTTAGCCCCAGTTTGGGAATCACTGTTTTAACCACTAAAATGCGTATTTCCAAAAAATTTCAGTCATTTGGTCATAAATATCAAACTGTTTGATGCTTACTTTGAGACCATTCCATTGAACACTTATAGAATAAACATTATTAATCCATTTTCTAGGATCGTCAAAGTGCAACCAACATGCTAAAGAAACATTTGGTTCAAGAACAGAGCATTGAGGATTATGCTGAAACAATACAAGTACTTTCAAAAACAAGCAGAAAACTCGCTGAAGCGGAACATCCAGAAAGGTTTGCGGAATTGCTTTTTTAGTTCCTACCGGAATTTATTATAACATTGGCTTTACTCGATCTCAAATTTTTTTTCACCTATGAATGTTAAAATACAAAATCATTGTTAGTGAGCAGAAATATTTAAAATTCTCCATTTGACGTTATTTGTATTTGTTTTTCTATTATTTTAATTCCGGAATAATTTGAAAAAGTTATTGGTAAAATTATCATAGTAACCATTTACTCAAGGCGACTTAACTCAAGTCTGTGAAAATTCTGGGCTTGTCTTATAAGACTCAAACACACCCTCCTCTTAACTATACTTAGTGAGAATTTGAGAACTCTAGAAACTATTCCTAAGGTAGGGAATTGAAAGAGTTCCCCATTTGAGAAACCCAGATTTATCTGGAGAAGTGGTTCCAAGCCTTTTATGGCTTGTCATCCTACCCTGGGGGCTTTTCGCACTCATGGTCCCCAGCGACACACCCTTCGAAACAATTTTATCAAGCGATAAAAACTAGGAAGGACAGGGATGTTTTTTTGTAAAGGGAAAAGTAAAATCAATTTTGCGACTAGCATTGTGGTCCCCTTCCAACTGATCTGTGACCCACGGGGACTTGGAATCGCTGATTTATAACTTGTTCTTTCTCTTTAGTGAACAAATCACAGCCAGACAAGTCCAAGTCGATAAGATGTACGCTGGACTAAAAGATCTTTCTTCTGAGCGTCGACATCGTCTCGAAGAACGCTGCGCACTGTTTAAATTTAACCATGAAATTGATGACCTTGAGCAGTGGATCGCTGAACGAGAGGTCGTGGCTGCGTCACAAGAACTTGGACAGGATTACCAACATGTCACTGTAAGTTTTTATGATTAATGTTTGCTGCCAATTCATTTCATTTGGTGGGTACGGTTGTGTAGTCACCAGGGGTGCACAACACGAGGCACGCGTGCCAAATTTGGCTCGCCAAACGCTCAAACGTGGCACGCGAACGGTTTTGTAAAATAAAGAAATATTTATGATATACATTAAAATATCACGTTTATATCAAAAACAGCAGTTTTTTTCAGGACAATAAATTGTTTCAATAAATAGATATCCGTTATCATGTATTGTTATTGCAATTTGTTTGTTTTACGGGAGTTAATTTACAATACCACAATTGTGCGTGGCACGCGACAAGATTCTTTTGAAAAATTTGGCACAAACCCTCATTTGAGTTGTGCACCCCTGCACTGTAGTGGTTAGACCAGATATTCGAAGCAGATCTGGCCGACCTGATGTGTCAATAATTTCTGCATTCAACCCAGGAAGCTAATAACTAGCCAATGGTGCCAGAAAAATTTTAGTCTTTCCAAAGTTACCAACTTGTTACTGTGCGTTTTTGTGAAGTTTTCTCAAACGTTGTGTTCAGTGTGCTCTAGCTTACTTGTAATCAATTTTGACTTTGAAAAAATGATAAAATTAAATTGCTATAACAAAACCTTTGGAATGTGCAAAGCCTTGTTTAATGAACTGGTAAGAACGCTCTGGAAACTTTATGCTTATTACTTATCGATTCTAATCGGTAAGTATGTTGATAGGTATTTGTCTGTCTGTATGTCTGTTAGATGCACGCGATATCTCACAAAAGCGAGATTGAATCTGCTCCAGATTTTGCATGTGCATTCATCATATCTCGGATTAGAAGCCTATTGATTTTGGGCGAATTATGTTGTCTAATTAGCAGGTTATTAATTAATTAGTGACGGGACACAAGGTGTCGCTGTGGGATAAGAGCGCTGTTTTGGGGATCCCCTAACTTTCGATCGATAAGTCTTCGGTCTCTGACCAATATTCTAGTTTAGTGCTTAGTTAGAAACATTTGTTTTATTCCATCACAACTGGGAGTCCAATTCCCGACTCCAGGAAGTCGAGAAATACAACTCTTACTTCAGTTGAAAGACACCAAACCCTGAGTTGAACTCAGACTTCACTGCTGTAGTGTACTACACTATAGAGATTCTATTTTTACACTTTGAAAAACGAAGTGTTGAGTCTAAGTCATTTCTTTTTTGCGTAAAATACATATTTATCTACTCACAGACGCTACAAGAACAGTTCCAAGTTTTCCGTCGCGATACCATCAAGACTGGTGATGAGAGAGTTAATGAAGCGAACCAAGTCGCAGACAAACTTATCGACTCCGGTCATGTTGATGCCGTAACAATTGCAGGATGGAAAGATAGAATTAATGAGGCTTGGGCCGATCTATTGGAATTGATAGAAACAAGAGTACAGGTGCGTGTTCGTAGTGTTCATTTATTATTTATAAATACAGTAAGCATGATTGAAAAGTACAGAGTGACCATAAAGTTACTTTCCAATTTCAATTTGGTTATGAAGTCAGTTCTCTATATATATGTTAACCAGGTTTGTTGTTTTTTTCAATATATATTTGTTTAGGTATTTTAACTCCACTCAATACATCTTTGATGGCCAAAACAATGCAGGGGGGTTTGCGTGAGCGTTAGTCAGTTGTGACACGCTTCTGGGCCATGCATGGGATAATTAGCTGTTTCACTATTTCCATTTGTCATTAACTGGATAAATAATAGAGTCATATTATCGTCTTTCCCAAGGAAAGAAACAAAATATAACAATCCTGACTGCTGCTAAATTCTCTCTCAGCAAACTAATTCTTTAGTTGTTAAGTGACATAGCCCTGCAGTTCGTATCAATTTTTTTCTCTGGAATCTCAACTATTCGTAATCATTACTTCAGATGTTAGCGGCCTCCTACGCCTTGCATAAATTTTACCACGATTCTGAAGAAACACTTGCCAGAATTGAAGAGAAGAAAAAACAAATTCCAGAAGAATTAGGAGGTGATTACCTGACGGTTGAAGATTATCAAAGAAAACATGAAATATTCACACAGGATATTCAAGCAATTGGAACACAGGTAGGCTGGCAGTAGAGGATGCTCAAACTTGAAATTGATTACATTGTAACATGAGGACTTAAGTTATTTTGGTTGAATTAGGATTTAACCCGTTACTAGGCACACATGCACTGAGTTCCATAATTCAATTTTAACGAGATCGATAAGTAATAAAATTCAAAAATATTCGTGACTTTTTATACAGAGCCTTCTTTAAGGGGAAGTTGTAAAAATGCAAATTAGACTTTTAGTTTTTATTGAATTCAACACCACTGTGGGAATGTCCCCAATTCAAACCCCTTTGCCACAAAAGTCAAAACCATCGATTCAAGCCATTTTAAAAATAGTAGCTCATAAAATATCAGTGACACCTTGTTTAGAATGAAGAGGTGAAAATAGGCTTTGAGTCTTAACTTCTATGAAAACGTGTATAAAAATGTCCCTTATATTCACATTTTATTTTCTCTTACGTAGGTGAAAACCATCACTGCCACCGGGAACGGACTTACTTCAGCTTACGCAGGAGATCAACGTCACCAAATCGAGACTCGTGTTTCTGATGTGCAAAAAGCATGGCGCGATCTCCTCAGCGCTGTCGATATTCGCCGTGGCGCTTTGGTAGATACTCACGACAAACACAGATTCTTTAACATGGTTCGTGATGTCATGGCGTGGATGTCAATTGTTATCAGGCAGATTGACTCTCAGGAAAAACCAAAGTATGTTAATTTGACCTATTTTCTTATTGTCTTGAGTTTTCTGAGTTATGATTGTTTGAGATGGCTCCCCCCATTTAATGTATGAAAGTTGGAAACTTTCCATGGTCCATTAGCTAAAATGGGTACTCCCGTAGAATGTGTACCAGGTTAGGGTTAGACCATAATTATATTCCGATTTCCTTATTTTAGTTCTATTACGAGTTTGGGGACTGTCTGTTAGCCAAGTGAATGTTTCAGTTCCTTCACACAACTAGATGTAAAGTATGCGAACAAAATTAGTTACCGTATACATACTGAATCACACTAAAACGTGTGTCATGTATTGGTGCATATTATACACTGTACTTACAATTTATTTCTATCCATTCAGGGATGTATCTGGAGTTGAGTTAGCTATGACTGCACATCAAGGAATAAAATCAGAAATTGACGCTCGGACTGGGACTTACGAGGAATGTCTAGATCTCGGAGAAGAGTTATTGAAACGTAACCATTACGCTTCGGAAGAAATCAAAGCAAAATTAACGGAAGTTAAAGCAATGAGAAATGATCTGGTTGATAAATGGCAGGAAAGATGGGAATGGCTTGAATTAAGTAAGTTATTTTTTTTATTTTGGATCAGAAGGAGATCAGTGGATTCCAGCCCAACGCCTTCATGCCCAATAATGTGCAACTTTTTTGTCTGTGGGCCAAATAATCATCTTCAGACATTTAGACGGGCCGCACAAAAAATTTAGCAGGAAAGGCGAGAAAATAGAAAGCGACTATTGCTTAGCCTTGCAGTAATGTTTACATCAGGCAAAGCGGCGAAAGATATAACGCTGGCACAATAGTAAAATAACATTATGTATTTTTACCCATGTGAGCATCTTTTCGAACATAAACAGTCAGATTAGGATTTTATGCTTTGGGGAAAATTTGAGCCACACCAAATAGTTTGGAGGGTGGGGTTGTGGTCTGCGGACCACCTGTGTGAGCTGTATGTGACTATCATCCTGTAGTGATGAAGGCCTATCAGCAATAAACAGCCATACTTGTCACAATTTCCATCTAAAATTATATTCATTTTAATATTGACTTCTCTTTTGCAAACAGTTCTTGAAGTCTACCAATTTGCTCATGATGCGTCAGTGTGTGAAGCGTGGTTGTCACAGCAACAAGGAATGGCCCGTGGCGACCCCAAAACTGAAGCTGAGCGCAGCATCGCTGATGTGGAACAGTTGCTACGGAAACTTGATGGGTTCGAGAAAGCTGCAGTTCCTTGGGAGAGCAGATTTGGCGCTCTGAATAAAATGACTGCTGTGAGTTACTATCTGCTGTTTCATGTTCGATCTGTTTAATTTATAAACAAGTACGAGACAAAAAGCACCTTGGGATTGTGTGCTTGATGAGTTTCATCCTTTATAAAACAACAGGCATGAGTTGATTATTTAACCAGTTTAAACCAGTTCAAACCAAAACTCAAATTGAAACCATTGTTGTAAAATCCCCATATCAAGAAGCTTAAAGCTTTAGTGCTCGCACAAATTCTTGTTAAGAGTGAGGTTGAGATCTTCAATACACTCTGTATGTCCTAGCGAATTTCCGCTATTAGATTGAACCCCCTTATCAGTTTTCCTCTCTCCTGAAAACAATAAGTAATATCCTAGTACTCTGTCCTAAGTGATATTAGTTATATTGAAATGACATTTTCCTCTCCAGCTTGAAGTAAGAGAAATTGAAAAAGAAAAAGAGAGAAAGGTTGAAGAAGAGCGAAAAAGGAGAGAAGAGGAAGAAGAGAGAGAAAGAAAGAGAATAGAAGAAGAGGAGGAGGCGGAGCGATTGAGAAAAGAGGCGGAGCTTGCTGCCCAACAAGCACAACCATTGGTCAATGGACACCATGAAGAAGAAGATGTTCCAGTGGTAGAAGTAATGGTGCAACAACAGGTCAGACATTTTGTTTTTTTGAGCCCACAAGGAAAAATTTTAGTGGCTCCAACTGACCTTTTAATTATTTTTTCACCTTTATTATCATAATTCCACATACAAAATATTGATGTATTTGTTCATATCAACTAAGAGTATTTGGTTGTATTAAGAAGGGAATTTGAAAATTAGGTTATATTAAGACTAATTTGAGAATTACCGTATATGCTCGTTTTACCGCCCGATCTTGATTGAGGGCCCGTTTGAATAGCCGCCCGTGTGAACAGAACATAAAAATAAATAAGGGCCGGTGCTTGAATACCCGCCCGATGTAAAAGCTGATTTTTCAGTGGTAGAACAATAGGAAATAAGAAGCGCTTTTGTCACAACGCTGTTGAATTTTAAGCGCCGGTAGATAACACTCACGCCTTAGGCGTCCAAGTACATAACAGATAGCATTGATTACGTAACACCATGGTTCTCAAACTGGGCGTCGCGACGCCCAAGTGCGTCGTTTCAATATTGATAGGGCGTCACAAAACTTTTCTTCTTTTGCGGATTTGTACCTGCGGTGCGTAGAAAAAGTCAAAATTTTCATTATTCTCGTTTAAATTATACTTGAGAACTGGAAATAACAATGTATTAATTATTGTAACGATCGAAAATAACAAGCGCCCGTTTTTGAATAAGGGCCGGTTTGAATGAGGGCCCGGTTAGTGAGTTAATTGAAAAAAATATGGTCCCGGGCTACAAAACGAGCGAATACGGTAGGTTGTATTAAGATGTAATTGAGATATTTAGTTGTATTAAGATGTAATTTGGGAGAGTTTGGTTGTATTGAAATGCAAGAATATTAAAATTAATCGTTTTGCTTCTCAGGCACCGGTGATCAATGGTGATGACACAGGGGGGGCTGGAGATGCAGCGGTGGTACATGACGAGTCTGCTGATACACTAGATGTCTCTGTGAGCATAGAAAAACACGAAGGTCATCTTCAACGGAAACAAGAAGTTGACGCAGAAGGAAAGAAAGCTAGTAACAGGTATTGTGATGTCATAGATGTTAATTTAGTCTTCTTTGTTGTCGTTGTAGGCTTGTTTAATTCATTTTATCAATTTTCGGTGACTGGTTTAGGGCTGGGCAAAAACACAATTTCATTTTCTTTCGATTTCTCTATTTTTCTACGCCAAAATTTTTCAAATCATAGTCTTTCGAACCTAGAAGCTCTCTCTACCCTTTACTTGATTTTTGCTGGGACAAGTTTAAAATAAATACGCAAGGCGATTGGATATTTTTCAAGGTTATTTTCAAAATATTGACATGTTTATGTTAAAGTGTCCACATTTTTTTCACCAAAATAAAAATAACTTGACTTGGGATAAAAGTTGAATTGTTCCACATATTCAGTATACATTGATTTGTCCATTTTGCCCAGTCCTGTGTGTAGATCATTTCAAGCTGCCTTTATTTTAATTAGTGACAGAAGTAAATTAGTGGTTAATTTATATTAACGCAGTAGTCTTTTTTTTAATTCCATGCGGTTTTGTCGCTTTCCGCTTTCCCATTAGTACTTGTTTCTTTTTTCATTAGTTTTCTTGACAGGGTAGACTTCATTATTCAAGTCTCATACCAACTGCTTTGTACTGGCATCCTCATAGCAAGCATATATATACGGGGTGTCGAAAAAAATTTGCCAGACTCTACAACAATAAAAATTTAAAAGTTTGCTCGATTTTATAGTAATAACAATTGTAAGCTTACGGTAAATAAATTTTATTGTTTGATAAATGAGAACTACAAGCGCTCTAAGAATTATTAATAAACAAAGACAAAGAAATTTTTAATTATTGTTACTATAAAATCTGGCAAATTTTTTTCAACACCCTGTATATTGAATTCAGCTTGACTTTCTTTATGGCGTTTTCACTCTGAACATGGGCCTTCAAAAGCAATCCTTGCTATGTATAAGGAGTTGGTTAAAGGGACGAAATGGGGGTTTAAATCTACACTTTATAATGTTCAACACCATAACTGCTATGCCACATTGGTATCTCACTCCAAACAAGCCTCTGAGATATAAGGAAATAGGTGAACTGGCAGATCTAGGTGACAGACATGCGTCTGAACATCTGGCGAGTCTCTTCACATCTGTGAAGCCTCTTGTATGTAAAGACATATTTAGGCTGACAAGGCAAAGTAATGTACACATGATTTGGACCCATGATACATATAGTTTAGTACAGGGGTGTGCAACCTTCAATACCGGAGGGTCAGATACAAATAACTGGGTAACATAGGCTTTCTAGTAGTTGCGAACACAAAAATATTGGTTATGGATCTCATGACATGCGTTGTTCGCTACGCACAAGCTAACTGTTAGGGCATTGTAACCTCATAGGTATCGATAATAAATTAGACTTAGGTATAGGTTTTGCAAAGCAAAGGGAATTACTCGACATTCCATATTAAACTAAATTAAGAACTCGTTTCGCGGCTGCACAATTTTTCGTTGTGGGCCGCATTTGGCCTGCGGGTCGCTGTTTGCATACCCCTAGTTTAGTATAATGACTAACACCACAATAACCACTAAGTCACATCAAATTGCATCAACCTCGCCCATTGCAATATCGTTCTACTTTTTTAAAATTAAAATTAAACCGAAAAGGAGCAGTCGGAGGTCTAGCTCTTCCTCAAGCTCAAGCTCGTCTTCAAGTTCATCCGACGAAAAGAACAAAAAAGGAAAAAAGAAACCACAAGAAAAGCAGAAAAAAGTACCGGTACCGGCAGTTCGGAAGCAACCACAGCCGACAGAAAAGAGAGTCGAAGAGCAACCAAAACAACAAATCCAACCACAAAAAGAAGAAAGAAAACCGCGCTCAAAATCTGCGATCGAGCCTAAAAAGAAAGATCGAATAATTGATCCAAGGCCAGAGCGTCACTCAGATGATGAAGGCGTCTCTCTCGATAAAGAAACACCAGTTAAAATGCGACAAAAACCTTCGACAGAATCTGAACCATTCTCTGGAGTTCTACAACGAAAATCTGTCATGTTCACTCCGTCGAAAAAGGCCTCTAACAGGTTCAAAACTGCTGCTAATTGCAAAAACACTAATTTGGTGATATTTACACTTTCTGGAGATACTAAAATCTATTCTAATTTGCACTGCATATGAATTCTTTAGACTGGACTAATTCCGGGTGGAATCTTTTTAATAATGAGCTTGTTTTTCCTAAATTTCTTTTTCTTATTAATTAGTTGTAATTTTACATTTTTTATAATGATATTTTATTTATGATGCAGTAATTTGGTTTTTAATTTGTAGAAAATAATATAATGGTGATTCTATCAGTTTGAAAAAAATTGTAATTTCTTAATTATTCAAAGCTAGTTGCTAATCAACCATATATCGCTATTCGTAGATGATGCTGGTTTCACACACTACTGCCCTCTAGTGTAGCGTAGTTTTGCAATCATTAAGGTTTTGATGCTTATGAGCATCCATCTTTTGGTACTGAAACTCTTTTAGACCCGAAAGACTCTAGAAAACTCATGTTTTCCGGCCTCCAATTAATCCCGCTAGATGAGACGGTCTGAGGTCTTTGCCATTAGAAATTTTAACCCCCCCCCACTCTAAACAAATAACAAATAAATAATTTAAAACAAATAATTTAGAGTTGTTTGCCTTGAACTCAAGATAACTTATGGATCTCCCATTGCAGTACATGTAACTTAGATATAGAAAATCCAAATCCTAAGACTTTTTGCCCTTGCTAATATTGTTCACTATTAGAGATAATTGAAGCTGGAAGTCAGAGAGGCCTATTTCAATCAAAGTCTGTGGTCAAGAGGGGGGGGATTTTGTTGAGAGTCAGAGCCCCCTTCCTAGAGTGTAAAAAATGAAAAATAATTTTTATATATCATAGCTATCGTAGCTTAAAACTGACCGGATCCTCGAGATCCTTGAAAAACCACATGTTCCGGCCCCGCTGGCTGTTTGGATCTAACTGGGAATTTAGGAATTTCATATCCTCCCTCCCCCTTTTTAAAAACACCCCCGCCTGTGGTTGTTCGCACCTCCCCTATTTTTTCTACTTTTAATTGAGAAGCAATTTTATGACGAATCTACTAAGTTTATCAAACGATCAATCAAAATATATTTACTAGATACTTTGTTGGTGTGATACAACTAATTATACAGTATATCTAAGCGCATCAGTTATCGCTTCAAACTTCGCTTTAAGGGTGTGGATGGGTAATTACTCACCGCCGCAAGATGGTTCCCGTAACCGCTGGTCGGTTACGGCTTCCACTATCAAGTCCATGCTTCTGAAAAAAAAAACTGGCGAACTAATCCCATACTCGACATGGACTGGTAACCGAACGAGAGGACGTGGTTCGCCATATGATTCAGCTGTTTTATCGACTTTCCTCTCCCCCGGGATAAATAAGTAAATCCTCATATATCTTACGAATCAATCTAACAATTATCACAGCATCGTGCTTCTGTATCTTTGATAACAAATTTTTATTCCAAAATCTTCAATTTTCTCTGTCCATGTTACCTATGTTCATAATCTTACCTTGTACCTGTTTGAGAGGTGGCTTTAATTTCTCTTCTTTGGCCTTGTCTGCCAGACTCTTTGGTATAAATTTTTTATAAAATGTCGAAGATAGCATGTTGAGTTCTTTAATAGAAGGTTGAATCCCGAAAGAGCTGTTTCGAGTTACACCTCTGCAACTTTTTATTGAAATTTGTGTCGAACATTGATTAGATGACTGTTAAGTTTAGTTTATTACTTCGCTAAAGCATGAACCCACATGAACCACCCTACGGCTGCGAGAAGTACAGCAACCTTCTCTCATATACTTATCCCTTGCCGGATTTGAACCCATGAGGGTAATCATAGTTGCGGTGGCGAGCAGATTACCACCGCTTAGCCCATTGTGCCACACCGCTAAGATGTTATTTGACTCTATGAAGCAAAATTTAGAATGCATTAGGTTTAGAAATGCAATAGAGGTAGATTCACTCACTTTTTGCTAATATTTTCTTGCTTCGTACATTCTAATACGTATATCTGATTTGCTTTGCTTTGGTATATCTTTCAGTAGTGTCCACTGTGCTTCATGCTTTCTTTTCTTTTTGGTGCGCTTATTGCTTGGTGTAATTTTTTTGGTACTCCAAAAGTATGTGAACTAAGATGGAGGACACCGTAACGTAGTACGTGTACCAGGATAGGCCATAATTCCAGGTACACAAATACTACAGGAGTCACTTGACTAGTCCCCGAACTCGTAATAGAACTAAAATAAGGAAAATTGGAATAAAATATGGCCTAACTCTAACCTGGTACACATACTACGTTCCGGTGTCCGCCATCTTGGATTACATACTTCGGGAGTACCATTTTTCTGCTTTCTATAGAGCTAAGAATAGTGGCGGTGTAGTCGTCAAAATGTTACCCAAGTCATTGTCAATCATGACAAAATGGATTCTTCGAATTATGATTATATTTAATATTGTGAATTCTCAATTTCACGAATAATTAGAAAAATCATTTCATTTGGTATCACCAGATTCAAAAATTTTCAGAATTAGTTTATTCATAATATTAAATTCTTTGAGTTTTTGCCACACCTGGGCACTGCTTTTATACTCAATCTCAAATTCAAATGTATCCATTTATGCATGACATTCCTTTTACAGAATTTTCCTGTTAATTTCCATTCCACATGATTAAAATAGCTGATATATATAATTAATGTGGTCTTATTGCAAACTGATTGTAGAATTTTTGACAATGGTTTGATTTTCTTTTGAATTTACAACTTAATGTACTTTATTTTGATTTTTCATGCAATCACACAAAATTTGATTTTTAATAGAATGATAAGCCCTCGATGCTTAAACTAAGCCTAGATTTGATGAATTCTCCCCCTCATTTAGATACTCGAAGTATGTGAACCAAGATGGTGGACACCGAAGTGTAGTATATGTACCAGGTTAGGGTTAGGCCATAATTTCATTACAAATACTGTGGTCAAAATACTGAGTCACTTAGCTAGTCCCGAACTGGTAATAGACCTAAAATTGAAATAAAATTATGGCCTAACCTTAACCTGGTACACATACTACGTTCCGGTGTCCGCCATCTTGGTTCACATACTTCGGGAGTACCCTCATTTATAGCAAACATGTATAAGGCCATGTGGAAAGATTTTACATTTTATACTTTATACGTTCCATAAATTCCCTGCCGCGTGACATTAACACATTCCTAACAACTTTTCAATGTCTTCAGGTCCTGGAATCATGTATACTGCTCTATATCGGATAAACATCTCAGATTTTACAAAGATTCGAAAAGTGCGAAGGCAGATACTTTATTCCACGGAGAGTCACCGATTGATTTGAAGGATGCTAAGTAAGTGTTGCCCCAGTTTTACCCTGTATTTGTATCTGGCCCTTCTGTATTAAAGGTTACACACCCTTGTTTTGAACAACTATTCTTGTTCTGGGTGAAGTGGCCTCTTAGATATACTGTCATAGCAACTTGTAAGCTAGATGGTAAGAAAGGGAAGCCAGTAATGACTCAACGATAATATCGGTCGGAGACCGAAGACTTATCGATCGAAAGTTAGGGGATCCCCCAAAACAGCGCTCTTACTCCATAGTGACACCTTGTGTCCCATTACTAATTAATTAATAACTGGCTAATTATACGACATAATTCATCCAAAATCAATAGGCTTTTGATCCGAGATATGATGAATGCATATGCAAAATTTGGAGCGGATTCATCCTCGCTTTCGTGAGATATCGCGTCTATCTAACAGTCAAACAAACAAACAGACAAATACCTATCAACATACTTACCGATCTTGAGATCGATAAGTAATAATCTAAGCAAGCTACCCAACGACAACCTTTCATTTGGTTCTTTTTTTAAATGTTGTAACAAATTGAGTACGTAATGTCGTACCTTCGAACTAGTAGTTCCCTATGAACAAACTCTTGTTGCGGGTGAACATAAACACTAACTTGATTCTACTTTTCTTAGATGTGATGTTGCATCTGACTACAAGAAGAAGAAACATGTCTTCAGATTGAAATTACCAACAGGATTGGAATATCTTTTCCAAGCTAAGGATGATGTAAGTGGGATCCTTGTGTTGTTAATCGTCCATGGATCATACGAGGCTAATATTTGATTTCGGTGCCAGCAAATAAGTAAAAGTTTTTCTCGCCAAAGAGGTTTCATGAACTTCGTGAAATTGTCTAGTTGCTCTGTTCAGAGCAAAAGTTTCATAAAAACGACCTGTGTTGCATTATCTACGCTTGGCATAAAATATTGATTCATGGGCGCTACCGAAGTATGTGTACCAAGATGGCGCACAACCTGAACCCTAATCTGATACACATACTATGTGCAGGTTGTGCGCCATCTTGATACACATACTTCGGGAGGTTCGATTCGTGAATCAACAAGAGAGCAATGTTCATGAAAGTCGCTCTTCAACATCATTGATTCCTTGCTGAGAGTTTACTGAAAAGACTAGAAGATAACAGTGCCGTAATAAAGTGCTCCCATATTCCATAAAAAGTGTTCTTATAGAGTAAATTATAACAGTAAAAAAACGGGACCAATAGCTGAAATTTGATGATAAAAAAAATTTATAGCCTCCCGTCGACTTTTTCCACTTTCAAGAACTGAAAATTTGAGATTTATTGTTTCATTTTTTAACAGAACGAAATGCAAAATTGGATTTCTCGTCTTCAAAATCTCGATTCATCAATAAACAGCGGGGTTAGTACGCCAACTCGTACGTCAATAAACGCCGAACCAAGCCCGAAAGGAAAGAAAAGACGAAGCCTCTTGAAAGGCGGAAAAAAGAAGTAAAACAAAAATTATAAGACCATAAACTCATATTACAATATTCATGGGTCTCTGAGACACCGTGTGGACACTATAAAAATGATTTTCAAGAATTGAAACATATAACAATACAAAAAGGAATACTCACTCCGAAAGGTCATTAAAATGCTTTTCTGCCAAAAATAATTAAGCACAACCAAAATAATATCTAAATATGATAATAGGTAGCATATTGGAGCAAAAAATAAGTCCAGTATATATACAAATTAGCATTAACTGGGTAATCGGTGCTTATATTGGATATATTACATTTATAAATTATTTGTAACAGATGTTTATTTAAAATAAATATACAATTTCGTGGCCATGTTGGCAACAGTCTTGACTATATTATTTGTATATCAAAGAATACTAAATGTTCCTTCCTTGAATCACATTTTTGGCAAAAAGGGCAGTTGAAGACTTTACATGCATTTAAAAATGGATTTCCTTTGCCCAATAGGCAGAATTTTTAAGTGCGCAAACTATGTATATTGATGCTGCAAAAATGCTCAAAATAATAATATTTTTTCCATGTTCCTGAACTGTTTTTGTTGTTCTATTATTGCAAAGTTACTGTTCCACAATAAAATTTCATTCTGTTTGGTGCTGAAACAGCAAAGTTTTCGTTCTTGTTATTTTTTTGTTTGTCAACATTGTAGAAGAACTGGGTGCTTTTTGATACCTTTTTGAATTTGTGTGTATATCGGATAAACTTTTAATTAAAAACGCTATTTCTGTAACTATTCTTGGTGCAAAATTACAGATATATTAAAAAGGTTAAGAAATGTTTGCCATTTGAAGAATCTTGATTGAAAACTGTATGCTTGTAGACTCTGTATTATAGTTTATTTGTGAAAATGAATCTCATTTTAAGCTCTGCATAATTTTTGTTTTTGAATAATGTTTCGTATTTCATTGAAGTGTTCTTCAAATAGTGTCATTTTATTGTTTTGTATGACATCACTATCACACTGCATTATTACATAACGTTCACGTTACTATGACATCACATATACTGGTACGCAAATAGTCATATAGTAGCTGGTGGTCTAATCCTTGTTCATGATCGATTTTTCGCTTTCATGGTTGAGTGCTTCTGGATATGGATGAGTGATTAAAATTTGGACATACTTTTGTGGTACTGGTTGCCACAATCGTTTTTCTGGCTTGCACTCCATATAAAACCAAGACTTTTATATATGGTCAAACCTTGTATAAAAAAACTGACTGTAATACTAAGCTTTGATTACATATTCTGGGTCACGAAAAGTGTTTAATATTGCCTGAGAAAGCACACAAAATGGAATTTATAGTAAAATAACACATGTTGGAAATTTTTTTGTTACAAACACAACAACCCATCTAAAATGCTCCCTCTTACATAATAATCATAAAATTATTGTGATAATAGCTGTTGCTGTATACATGTGTTGCATTAATAACAAATTCGTGATTCAAAAATATTCTCTAGGCCTAGCTTTTATTATTTGCTTGTATATAGTAGTTATGCCAATTTGTAGTTAAAAATTGCTAAATTTGTGTAAAAGCCTTGATTTATGTATCAAAATGGGACTGATAAAGCCTCTAACAAGAGTATATTCAATAACATTTGTGGCAACACTGTATTTTTGGTTCAGAATAAGCTTGTGCACCTCAAATTAGAGGGTGTATCAAAAAAGATGCAAAAATAATATTGCCTCTGGTTTAATTTTAATTCCTAGTATTCTTAAGGTTTCTATTTTAACAGCAAGTATATGATATATATTCCAGGCTTCTTTCTATGAAATTTTACGTAAATAGAAGATATCACTGATAAAAGGAAGCAGTGTTCGGTATGTAGGCCTATGTCTTAAACTTCAGGATTTTAGACATTTTTTGGCATTCCTCTCCAGAGGTTGGCTATTTTGGTCCCATTTTGGTGTGAAACTCTGCCAGAATCGAAAACATTATTATTAATAATCTGTTACTGTAAATTTTTATTGGAGATTCTGACTAAAATTTTGTGTCGTGGAGTTGAAAATCATAAACTATAATCTTTGTGCTTTGTATGGAAACGATGCTTAAAATAAATTCGTTGATAAAATTGTGTCGAGTTATGTCCAATATGACAGGTCTCGCAATACTCCAATGTGAATGATAGTCCTACACTACACTAACATGAATGTATGAGGAATGAATCATACCGTGTTTCCCCGAAAATAAGACTAGGTCTTATTTCAATTTTCTTCTGAAAAATAACACTAGGGCTTATTTCCGGGAGATGTCTTATATTTTCATTCGGCTCATCGTGCTAAGCTTTAGGAATACGCTTGCCACTGCACCTCTGATTACTCCCCGTGGGTTTGCAGGTTCAAATCGATGGTTATGTGCGAGAAGATTACTGGACTCCTCGCCGCCGTAGGGTGGTTCACGTAACCGCTGGTCTGTTACGGCTTCCTTCACCATTGAGTCCATGCTTCCGAAACCAAATAACCAACTAATCCCATACCCGACATGGAATGGTAACCGAACGAGAGGCCGTGGTTCCTCTCGCCGGGATAAATATGTGAATTCTATCCTATCATTTCTCAAAAACAAAATTACCAAGAGAATTACAAGATTTTCGAATATACAAAATCTGAAAATCGATATTCAATTATTTATATATATCACGTTTTTATTCAAAATAACTGCAAAACATAGATTATTATTAATCATTTAAAACGTGTAGAGGAGATTTCTTGCTATTGACTAGGTCAAAAAAAAAATTCACGTTATTGACTAAGTCTAGCTTACCGGTATAATAAAATAATTTTTGAAATTCAGGGTATGTCTTATTTTCGGGAAAACACGGTGTTGGCATCTCTAATATGCTTTGTGGCGTATAAACGTAAGAAATTTAGGATAGGATTTGCATATTCATCTCAGGGGAGGAAAAAGATGAAGGAACACCTTAGTCATATGGCGAACAGTTTATGTCGATTATTTGTTTCAGATGCATGGACTTGATGGTTAAGGAAACCCTCCAGCGCTTGCGTGAACCACCCTGCGGCAACGAGGAGTCCAGCAATCCTCTCTCTAAACCAGTGTATCTCAAAATTTTTGAGCCGCGCCCACTTTTTGGAATTTGTCAAGTCTCGCGCTCTTAAAATAACTAGCTTCAAATAACAGATAGTAAGACGAAAGTATTTATTATTCAAAAAATATGTGGATGGAACGTAAATAATGAAAAGTTTTCAAATTTTAATATCCAAAATAAGGTGTGCAAGATAAAATCTAAGAAATATTTTTAATTAGATCCACGCCCTTCAAAAAAGTGTCTACATATGCGGCACGCCCAACCGTTTGAGAACCACGGCTCTAAACAATCAATCTGGTTACAATTTTGTTTCATGTCAGTGACCAAAATAAAATTGATTGAAATTGAATAGATACATGAGAGATGATGGTTTTCCATATCATCCAGTTGTTTCTGCATTGGTTTAATGTTACACTTTTTTGACCGGTTAGTAGCAAAGCTGCATTACAATTAAATGGTTTAAGTTTTTACTTGGATGTTCAGTTGCCTTGGGAGTTGTTAAAAATAGTAATAAATATGCAAAAATTTATTTCCTGATATTAATTTACCGCGGTAGGGTCATATAACCGTAAGGTGTTGTCCTGCGGCACCGGTACAACCTTAAGTTGCCGGTACCTTGTCTATGCCCAAAAGTCCTATAAATACACGTGTATTTAACTTATATATTATTTTTTTTAATGATTAACAAAGAGTATTAAAACAAAATCATAAGTCAAATCGTTTTGTGGTCCTCGAAAAAGTCTACGGGGCAAAAAGTCTGTATCCTTTTTCCCGTGATGATGTTGATTACAGGTAAGTTAGGTACCGGTACCTGTTACCTACCGGTATGTCGAGACTACGGGAGGATTGCTGGACCCCTCACCGCCGTAGAACCGCTGGTCTGGTCGGCTACGTCTTTCCCCGATTTTAGCAAGTTTTCTATGATTTTGACCCAGTTTTATATCTACCGATGTAATACTGAAACTCTTTAACATTAAACTTGCTGAAATGTTTAAAAATAAAACGTCATCGAAATGTTTAGCAGACGACACAGTTTGTAGCTTCTCTTGTAGCCTAGCAACGGAAGCAACACCTAGCGAAAAAGTTCAATTTTATTTTTGAATAAATTACCTAAAATTGGGCCTAAAATTTTGTATTTGCTTAGAAAATTAGTTCCTTCGTATTTTCCGTCAAATTACTGCAAACTCCACGGAGGTGGTTCGCCAAGGCATGTTTTGGCATCTTGTGCGCTATATTGCTCCACTTTTAAGGTGTCAAACATTAATATTCCGTAAACCGGAATAATATCTGCGTCGAATTGCACAAATAAATATGTAAATCCTGTCCCAAATTGACATTTTTCTTTAGAAGTAATCACCAACCAAGACCGGTGTCATTCGGCCCATGGCCAGGGGGTGATTCGTTAAATTTCATTTTGATGTTATACACAGAATTCCAGTCAAAGATGGTCAGGCCAAAATATGTTGCTTAAAATGGAAAAGCAAACCTTTCATTCACTTTTATTGTCGATAAAACAAGTATCAAGATTTACGAAATAGATTTCAAGATGGCACCACATAGCGGATTATTTGCTGGACTGACGTACCGTTATCATAAACGGGAACCTTTTCTTTGTTTGTTCGTTTTATGTATATTTGAGAATTTACACACAGAAATTAAGTAACAATAAATGCATATTTATTTAGTATATATTTTTGAGTTTGATTGAATTCTATCTGACTCCTGAGTGGTTCAATTCGTGTTGGACCGTACATGACTGATCTGAATACTGGAATATGGAAAAATAAAAGTCTAAGAATAAGTAAGAGTTTATTTCGACTCCATAATCAGCATAACAGGCAGAAAGATGATTTTTAAAAACAAATAAATAAAAACTGATTATGAAATCCGAAGAGCAAACAAAATCTTAGATAAGGTTTAAAATGTACAGAGTATAAGATGGAAGGTTTTGCCAAGAAGAAGTGGTACATGTTCACTCACCTAAAATTATTTCACACACACAACCACAAAGAAATTATATCAAGTAACAAAACATGATAAACTTATGGTAAATTACATCGTAAAAAAATATTAATGAAAAAGTGAAAAATTATTTGCCAAATCATAGTCTTACTACTTACTGAATACAGCGCGAAACACCTCAAAGAGCGCGAAACAGCGCAAAACAGAGGGAAAAAGCGCAAAACAGTGGGGAAACAGCGCAAAACAGTGTGAAGCAGAAAAAAATTTTGCAATGAGTTCGGGGCAGCAAATTAAAAACACAAACCAACGTCTGTAGCCAGTAATGCTGTAATGGCAGGTCTGCCCCTGCTTGTGACACATTTTGGGTACCATAATTTAGAACATTTTCCATATGGATATGGTTGGCTTTAGGGTTAGGTAAAAAGGGACCTCCAGAAGTATGTGCACCAAGATGGCGCACAACCTGAAAATAGTATGTGTGTGTAGCGGATTCAGGTTGTGCGACATATTGCTGCACATACTTCTGGAGCACCAAAAAGTAGATAAAATTTCGCATGATGACCTATAATCAATCCGGTACATAACCTTGTAAATATAATGGAAATAGTGTCATAAAACTATGGCGAGAGGCGCCGTGGTTCTTTCGTGCTAGGCGCTGTTTCCCTCTGTTTTGCGCTGGTTTCCTTCTGTTTTGCGCTCTTTGCAGTGTTTCGCGCTGTATTCAGTAAGTAGTAAGACCCTATTAAAGTATTAATAATTTTGTAATGGTTGCCACTGCCAATTTGATCGTTGGGCCTATATAATGAGCATATATTGGCTCGACGGAGTGGCGCATCGTGCTAAGCGTTAGGAATACGCTCGCCACCGCATCTCTGATTACCCTTTGTGGGTTCGCAGGTTCGAATCCCATGCGGGGATGATCATGTGCGAGAGGATTGCTGGACTCCTTGTCGCCGTAGGGTGGTTCACGTAACCGCTAGTCTGTTACGGCTTCCTCCACCATCAAGTCCATGCTTCCGAAAACAAAAAACTGGATAACTAATCCCATACCCGACCTGGACCGGTAGACGGACGAGAGGCCGTGGTTCACTATAAGATTGAGCCGTCTTATCGCCTTTCTTCTCCCCCGAGATAAAATATGTAAATCCTTCCTATACATTGGGCCTATATAATATTATATTATTATTTTTTATACTTATTCTTATCATGCTGTCATGGGTGCATGGGGAAATTTGAGGTAAATATCTGTATTTCCATTAAATCTGGCCTCAGAATGGTAGGTACACGAACCTATTAAAGGGAGTGAAGTGGTGACTCCTCTACGGCCCATGGGCCGGGGCCATGGCCCATCGAATTGGGCCTCGGCCTATCAGGCTATGGGCCGCGGCCCATCGAGTGGGTAAAGGAATTATCCACTTGACTAACACAGTCAGTCCCCGAACTCATAATAGAACTATAATGTGAAAAATCTGAACAAAATTCTGTCCTAACCCCAATCTGGTACACATACTACAGGAGTATCCTTATCTGTTGCTTGGTATTTTGCTTTATTTTTATATAAAGGCTCATCGTAAGAAAAAAAATTGGTGGCATCCCGCGATTTTTTTCGGTTCGAATATTGACAATTTTGTAAAAATTGAAAATTTTGGTAAGCTAATCGAATTTTTCCTGATGGAGCCGCGGCCCATAGCTTGATGGGCCACGGCCCATGTGGCCAAATTAGATGGGCCGTGGCCTCAGCCCATGAGTCATAGAATAGTCACCACTCCTGTAGATTAAAGGGGTAACGTTTGCTGACCGCTGGCATGATCCGAATTTTTTATTGTTTATTGAATAAACAGTTACGGTACTTATTAATACTGTTACCTAAACTTGCAAGTTAAATTAGAAATATGGAGGCAAAAAGAGCAAAATTGGAAGAAGAAGCCTCTCAAAGAACAGAAGATGAGAGCGATTTTACAATCAATGTTGGGGAGGAATCGTTTCCAGTTCATCGGAATTTACTTATCGCTGCCTCTGATTATTTCCGAGCCATGTTGTCCCACGACACTAAAGAACGACAAGAG